GAAGGAAAGAATTTGAGAAGGAATTTTGTATGTGATCAAGTTGGCTATAATTAAAAAGGAAAATTTTTGGTTACAACAACAAAGTTTTCTAAAAATATTAATTTGCTCTTAATGAAATAACATGATGTATTGATTTTAATTCTATAACCTATTTTTAATTAAAAATTTATCTTAAAAGTTCAACTTCTTCTATGTCTTACTGATTTCATATTTTTCTCTCTTGAAAAAGGCTAGATGGTAACTCTCACCTTCAATTATTCATCAGAAGCTATAATTTTTTCCCTTCTAGTTCTAAGTTTGTAGTTATGGATTGAAAATAGAATGTTTTATCTCAAATGTTTAATAAAACAATGTTTTCCTCCAATATAACTTAATAATACACTCTTGATCTTTTTTGATATGTCTAAATTATTTAATATGGTCAGGAAGCTTCTTATGGTGTTTCTAAGAGTCATTTGTTCCCATATTCAAGGTACTACCATGTTTTCCCAGAAGTAAGACAGGGACTTATATTTATTTTTCCTCAAGAAGACACCCTAGGGATTATTTTCAAGGGATGTGTTATTTTTTTAAGTACAGTACAACAATCTACATTTATTCAAATATAGTTAAGTCGTCGTCTTCTGGAACATCATCCTAACTCTCCAAATCCTAAATTCCATCCCGAATTTCTTGCAACTCTATTTCCTTTAGAACCATTGGCCCAAATCTGTCATGTCAAGCAATAGAGCTCTCATGGGGCAAATGAGAAGGGCTGTCGTCCTCTATACCACTCTTCTATGAAATGGATGAGTTGTGCAGATATGCTGCGTAGCCACGTCCATCACTAGGTCTTATTTTCGGGGTAGGGCTTATATTATGCAAATGCTTAGAAATCCTTCTAGAGCTTATTTTATGGGTAGGTCTTACTTTTGGGAAAACACGGTAGTTTCTCTTATTCACATTGCTCTATAATATACTGCATAGTCATGATCCTGGACACACCCTTGCTGTGTCTGATTAATTCAAGTGCCTTTTTCATCAGGTTTAACTTCCAAGTTATCTAAATGGGTTCGCTATAAAAAGCAATCAAAAAAACAATGCTCCATACTACAGAAGGTTTTGCTTTACCCTTTGGGTAAATGGGCTAAAAGATTTTATTCTTATTAAGATAATCTATGCATTGTCTTTATTTTATGACTAATTAGAAAAACAACTTTAAAGGGATTAAGGTTTACACCCATATAACTCCTTCTATTGCCTGTAAAGCCTTTAGATGACTATCACTCTTGGTTAAATCAATGACCATTATTTTACAGTGATTTCTGATTCTATTTTGAAAAAATGTCTTAAACCATTAGTATTTGACAGACTTTGTAAAAACAAAATTGTAAATTCAGCCCTTTTTAACCTAGAAGTCCTTTAAACTAGAAGTCCTATATTCAGTCCTTTTAACTAGAAGTCCAAGAGAGACATATCAGTCTTATTTGATATATTATAACCATACAGAAAGCCTTGTCAAATATAAAATGGTATTTAACTTTCTTTGGGTTATATTTGTATAAATATATTATACATTTTATGTAAAAATGTAACTTGGTTATTTAGCATGCTCTGAGAAGCCGCCTGAACAAATATGTCTAGTTGATATTACACATGTCCAATTGCACTTTTAAATGTTCAAGTGAAATTAGATACTCAAAGAGTTACATGCATCACTAAGGGAAAAGACCTTTTGAGTTCATCACTCCCTCCCAAATTTTGTGAAGAAATGGCTAAAATTCCCACCTTGAGTTGCCTCTATTTTGAGTTGGTTACAAGAATTTAAGAAAACACTCTCCCCTCCCCCCCATTTCTTCTTGGCTGTTTCAAAAAAATCCAGAAGTATGTATCCTAATAAGAAACTAAAAAAGGAGGAAGGAAACAGAAAAAAAAAAGGAAAAATCCCAGTAGACATTTAGGGAATGCCTATCTGAAATCTGACATTATCTCTGCCTGAACAGTGAATTCCATCTTCTGTCACATAGTTTGGTTTTCCTGGAGCTCGAAATACTTCTTGCCATGTGGATATGAGGACAGTTAGATATTTAAAACTGTAAAATAGAATTCTTCATGATAAAATTTCTGACCTGTATTTCCTATAGTACATGGGTTAATTAATAAGATACCCTTTAACTTTTCGAGGTTTTAAGAATTATTGCCAACATGGTCTTAATACAAATAATGGAATACAAATAATGTCTAGAGGCTCAGGAAGAGCCAATATAAAAGAGATATTTTCTGTTTAATCCTGTAATGTCTTTTTATAAAATGAAGATTTAATTTTCAAATATTTAAACCTGCTTCTGGCTTTTGTCTTATTCTGCGCTTAGCCCTTTTTGTTATAAATTTAAAAAATGTTCTGGTTGGATGTCATTACAATATTAACTTGTTGTCTAGCTATTAATTTATTTGCACATGGTTTTAAACACAACTTTTAGAAATATCTTTTTAAAATGGCACTGTCTGAGTCCTTCTCCCCACCCACTACCGCCCACAATGGAATATTACTCAATCCTAAGAAACGATAGTGAACTAGCACCGTTTATGCTATCGTGGATTAAGCTTAAGCCTGTAATGCAAAGTGAGACACACAAGACCTGGAAAATGGGCTACACATCTACTTGCCATCAAATTGGTACTGACAGCCTAAAACTATGGTGTTCAAATAATTGTAGTGTTCAACAGGGATCTGAGGGGGGGAGACTCACATCTTAAGGATGTAATGAGCATTGTGGAGGGAGGGAGGATTACCTCTATCCCTTTTTAGGGAGAGGCAAAAAAAACACACTGTAACCAAAATGTCTAAAAAAAAAAATTTTGTTAATAGGAGGTGAACAGGTGGAAGGGGGAGAAGGGGAAGGGTACGCACTTTCATGGTGGGTGCAGAACGTACCACTTGATGACTAGACACGCTTGAAGCTCTGGCAGAGTGGGTTGGGGAGGGGGGCAGGGGCAAGATATGTAACCCTAACAATATTTGTACCCACAGAATTTGGGAAAAAATAAATAAATATAAAAAAATAAAATAAAATAAATAAAAAATTAAAATTAAAAAAATAGGCACTATCTTATTTTAGGAAAACACAACCCTCCTCTGTATTTGGATATTTTCCCATTTCAATTCCCCAAATCCTTCCGTTCTGCTCAATACTTTGGTTGCTACAGTTTTCAAACAATAATTATGTCCCACATTTTACAAAGGGGTTCAACTTGTAAATCTTATAGGCCCACACAAGTCTGAGAAACTCTCAAAATTGAGGTTGAAATTATTATAAGTCTAAGAAGCTAATGAGTTTCATTTATTCTTACATCGTTAAACTTGCCTGTGTGGCAGCTAGTGACATGTCTCTAAACAACAGTGTAGCTGCAGGATCTGTTAATGTAAAATGATAAACAATTATTTATATAAAATCTGAATCTGAAAAAAATGTTTCCCTAAATTGCTAAACTCAAAACATTTTAGAACATGTACAGTAATATGCAAACATTCACTTGACTTGGGCCTAAGGCAGTTCCTATATGGGAAAGATGACAACACAAACAGCCACTCGTTGTTCTGAGAGCAGCAGTGTGTAATCATGGTGTAGTTTTACATGGATTTCATTTTTCCAGCTGTTCCCTTTTGATATCAGATCTCTCCTTAAAACCCTAAGTGCTCCCTCATTGCAGGAAACAGCATCTTCCAACATGGATTTCTCAGTGATAATTGGTGGTAATAAAGGATAGGAGGTAGGGGGAAGGTAATGTCTCTGCTAAAATAAACTTGGGAAAAAAAAAAAAACCGTATTAAAACAAAACTAAATAGGTTGCAGGACTTCTCAGAACCTGGTCCTAGAATATGCTGCCAATATGCAATTTGAAACTTCAAGAGAGGAAAACATATTGCATAGAATTTCTTCAAATTATTTTTCAATGGACCATGCCCTGAGAGATTAAGTTGTAGAACCTCTTTCCCTTTTACTAACGGCAAATCTGCTCATCATTAAGGTTCACATCTAACCAAATTTTCAAAATGAGGCCATTCCCAATTCTCTCAGACTTCATCACTATGCATTTGTCATGTGACGGCACTCTTATGGTTTCCAGAATCCTCACTTCTATTTTATGTCCCTCCTTTATTTGGGGGCAGGGATTATCTTTGCTCTTCATTAAATTAAAGCACCTTGACATGAGGGCCCATTCACCATTCACCTATTTTCTACAACATCTAACATAGTGCCCAGCTCAGAACTTTGTAGGATCTCAATAAATGCTTAGTGAAGGACTGATGCCATCTACCTCAAATGTGTGCCATTGATATCAAGAATTATTCTGGAAAACAAAATACTTCTTTACCCATTTGAGAATGAGTGGGTTAGACTTTTATTTTAAATGTATCTTTATGCTCCACTGAATGCTGTTTTTGAGTGACAAGAAGAATAAATCACCATAACCAAAACTTCTACTTAAAAAAATTCAAACTGAACAAGAGTCATGCAAAATTGTTTTTATTAAGCTTCATATTCAGCTTACAGCTAAGTATTTCAGGCATTACTCCATTAGACAAACAGACATACATCAAGGAAACATTTCAAGACACTCCAATGACTTCATAACTACTGGGAACAGAGCAACTTGCTCTGCAGTTAACATAGATGCTGAGTACTTCAAGGAGTCTTTAAGGGAAAGAAGCTAAATGACAACTGGTCCTCTTCTATGAAATCATTATTCTGGACAAATAGCTACAAAATAAAGCACATGACTATGACAGAGCTTCAGAGATTTGGCATCCAAATCCATCTTTTTTATTTAGGATAGGACTTGGGGTCACATATCATAAAGCTAATCATTCAGAATAGGCTACATGTCAAGTATTCTATGGATAGTATTAACACCATGATTAGTTTACATTTTAAGAAAATCACGAAAAGAACAATTTTGTATTGGAAACCCACTGTGTTAGTGACTATAGGAGATGCTTTTGAAGAATTGCTGTCCACTATGGCAGATTTTTTATGAGTTCTTCTGAGAGATATTCACCGTGACTGTCTTGACCTCTGTATATTCATGGAGACCATATTCTCCCCTAGAGAGAGGGAAAAAAAAATTACCCACAAACATCATTTAGCATAGAGTTCAAATGTACTATAGTCTGTGATTGGTATAAGTTTGTACTTGCTTATTTGGCCAGGAACAATGGGAAATATTTTCTGTGTACAGAGCATTCTATATAGTAGCTAGCCAGCCAAAAGTGTCTGGACTACATAAATCTATTTGTCAGAAATATGTTTTTAAGATCTCTTTCATTTGAAATAACCATGTAGACCAGGCACAGTGCTCAGCCTATAATCCTAGCACTCTGGGAGGCCAAGGCTAGAGGATAGCTTGAGCTCAAGTGTTCAAGACCAGCCTGAACAAGACCAGACGCTGTGTCTACTAAAAATAGAAAAAGTTAGCTGGACCCAATGGTGCATGCCTGTAGTCATAGCTACTCAGGATGTTGGGCAAGATGATCACTTGAGCCCAGTAGTTTGATGTTTCAGTGAGCTTTAATGCCTCTGCATTCTAGCAAGGATGACAGAGCAAGACTCTGACAAAAAAAAAAAAACTAAAAAAAATCATGTACTCATGGTTGATTTTTGTAGAAATTGTTCATTTTTTTTTTACATTACCCTACTTGATTTTGAAAAGCTCTATCTACTCAAAAGACAATTCAGCCTAATAAGAATTTTGTCATTTCTAGTCTAAATTTCACTTTAAGATAAATATAGTAAAAGAAGAGAGGTAGTGATATATAATTGCTCCATAGTAGTACAACAAAACTGTAAACTAAATCAGAGCTTGGATTTACCAAGTGCACAGAATTGGCACCGAAATGATGAAGGAGTGAAACTTTCATTCTAAGGGGCTTTAATATGGTTTGAAACAAAATGTTTTGCAGCTGTTGTTTTAGCAATTTCTTTTGATTCTCTGCAAATACCATTTGACCTTTACTACTAAAGTTTTCTGATTTTTTTCTGTTTTCTTGATTGTTTTCTTTTTAAGGAAGAAGACAGGGTAGATTGGCCTACCTTCAGGCTCTTGGGGTTTCACAGTTGTTGGTTTTTTCCCTTTTATGACCTCCTCTCTCCCCTACCATTTGCTCATATAACTCAAGTCCAACCCAAATGATTAGGAATTAATCCAAGTCAGTCCATTTTGACCCTCCTACCTTGTTATCCGGTTTATGGAGACCTACCAGTTTTAGAAGCTGACTGTGATTTACCCTTTGTTGAAGAGATAGCTAAAGGGACTGGGCCTCAGTTATACTCTGTATTGTTCTTACAAGAAAATCAAATTACATGTATATAAAAAAATATTCTTAAAATGACAACACTCATGCATGTGTAGCTTACAGAAAAATAAGATTTTGATCCTTTTCTACCCCTCCCTTCTTGTGATGTAGACAGATATGTAGAAGGCATCATTTTGTCCTGGGTAACCTAATATTCTTACACTGATTATTTTGGGGGCAAGTAAGCTTTTAAATACTTTTTAAAAGCTTCAATGAACATGTTCTTCGAAGTAATTAAAGGGTTTAGCCTTAGTTATCTGAACCCATTAAAAGGAAAGTATTTTATCTCATACAGTTAGATAAGTCAACCCATGATTTTTAACCAATATCCTTTCCATTGTATTTTAAATCACATGGCACCTGAAACTCTCAGGAGAGTAATAAGTGTGATTATTGTTCTGCTCAGGCTGGGACATTATATATATCTATGTTCCTGACACTTAAGAAATTATTGATGGTTGATTCCTGTTTTCAATCCTTCTAATATTTGATTGCCTTATGTCTTAACCTTAAAGTCTGTATTCAACAGAATTTATGAGTCTTATCTATTTAAGTTGTTTCATCCATTTTGATTATTTTATCTTAACTGTTTTCAAGAAAATGTGTTAGGTAGCTGGGCCAGCAATGAACTAACTGACCTTCTGAGTACTCTATCATTTGTTCCAGCTTTTTGTATAAAGAAATTAGTTCTCCCAAGGGATTATCCAGTAATAGATATTATAAAGAGAAGAAACTAGGGGAGGAAGAAACCATTTATTGAGTTTCCAGTTTGTGGCAGTTACAAAGCTAAGGATTGGACATTCATTATGTTATAACCATCTTAAGAGGAAAGTTAGCATCTCCATTTGCAATATGAGGAATGGAGACTCAGAAGTTGGACAACCTGAAGCAGGTAGCATAGCTAGCAAGTGGTGGCGTCAGGATTTAAATGCAGGTTGGTCAGACTGTAATGATGTCTTCTCAGATATGCCTTCTACTTTTTTCATGGGTTGATCTTTTGCTGCTATCTCCTCAAATCATTCTAAACATATCCATGGCTCCTCATTACTCTACAAGTAAAATCTCAGACAATTGTCTTGGCTTCAGGACTTCTTAAGCTATATCATATTTAACTCTGAATCATCTTCTCACCCCCATAAATCCACTAGCCCTTCAGCACAACACACATAATGTTCTATTCAAGAATGCCCTTTTGCTGCTCCAGATGAAGCCCCATGTCTTTTGTAAGGTCTTCTCTTACTCTGTCAAGTGCTATTAAATTTTTTATCCACTGAATTTCCAATGGAGTTAGAATCTTGGGAAGGAACTTAAAAGACCTTCTATTTCCTCTGCCCACTCCTATCTTCACCACAATCCTTGACCTTGTGTGACAGATCAAAATTGTGACAGCGACATGGCATCCTAAATGCTAAAGTCTGGTTCTGTCCAGATTTCTTGTCCTTCAATACTTTTCTCTGCTCTTAAAGTGCTTTTCTGCCCTGGTGAGGTATAGAGTTTTGATCTAGTGTGTGTATGTTATTTTGTATATATTTTTACATATTCCTCCTGCCACCACAGCTATGTAGAAGGTGGAACATAGTGTCATGTCCCTAGGACCTTATTTGTAGTAAGTACTAATGAATGCATGTTGAGAATATTGACAGATCATTCTATCATTCCTCCATTTCACTGCCTCCCCGCAAATATTGTTTAATTGTAATTTTGCTGATTTATTAAGACAAACAACTAACTGCATGGCTACTTCATGCATGACCCTTAGAAACTGAGAAAGACTTATTTTTACTTGCTATTTACCAAATAGGCAGCTTTACTATGTTTGATTCCACAAGGATTGTATATGATTTATCTTTTTTTTTCAAGAATTTTAAACTTATGGGTAAATGTAAGAGAATTTAGTTAAATAAAATGGTTGAATTACTTGAATAAACTTAACAGAACATCTTGCCACTATTTTCTGTGTTTACAGATGTATGTGAACATTTTTACAAAAAGTCTATATCTCCCAGTTTCAAAAACAACTGAAGGCTCATAAATACATTTATGTATAAATATTCTCAATCTATTCACTACTATAAAACATTTTTTCCTTAATCAAATTTCCCTTCAGGTTTATATTTTAATTTAAAAAATAACTTATTCGGGTAATTTAAAATTTTAGAACCTACATCAATCATATTTCAACATATGAGAATAATTCCGCTTACACTGGTGTTTTCTAAGATAAAGCATCTAATTTACTTATTTAGGGGCATATTCAAATAACTGGAGTGTTCTTATATTTGCACACTTTTTACAATCACCATGTTTTGGTTTTCACCTCCTTTCTAGAGATGTTTCCCACATGGATTTCGTTCATATAAGCAGCAAAGAATTCCAAAAATAAGCAATATTTAAATCATATTTTAAAGTGCTTAATACAGACCCTGATGAATAGCAGGAGCTTAATAAATTGTATTTCCCTTCTGCCAGCACCTTTCTGCACTTATGGGGTGCAGCCAACATTTAATAAGCTATTGGGTGGTATAAATTCTCCAGGAAAGAACAGAAGAAGGTTTTATTTAAGGTGCAACTGTGAATTAATTTCTTAGTAGTAAAAACCATTTTTATGAAATAAGTATATGAATAAAAAGTTATTCTTACAGTTCTCGTCCATTTCCAGACATCTTGAAGCCACCAAAGGGGCACTGGGCACACACCACGCTATAGCAATTCACCCTGAAAAGAAGTTATTATAGATGATACTATAATAATGAAATAATTTGTATTTGGCAATTTTAGAAATTTAGAAAGCTGAAGAACTCCATTAATTTCTAAATGACATACTCTTTGGAACAAAAAAGTAGCACTATGAATTAGAATGTGGAAGTATATGGATATATGCCACAAAATAATGGATATATGGATATATGAAACAGAATAATGGATATATGACAAAATAATGGATATATAACAAAATAATGGATATATAAAAATAATGGATATATAACAAAATAATGGATATATAACAAAATATGGATATATGAAACAAAATAATGATACACATATGTATATGTGTATATGTGCATAGCATTTTTGGTAGTATGTCATGTCCCTGAGAAGGCATAGTTAGAATTATAAAAGTTAGAGTTAGAGAATACCTAATATACCATCGAAAAGATGATATGGTTTGCTGAAGACAGGAATTTGTTGGGTGGGTATTCTGTTACTCCTCATTGCCTATATTCAATAAGCTTTGCAGTTCTCTTGAGGTTTGTGTACTTAATAGGTTAGATTCAATTTTCTTTTGCAACTGCAATATATATCATATTACTCAGTTCATTTTTTTTCCGATTCATTGGTTAAATAAATTACTTAAACAGGGGCCTTGGTAGAAGTTGGACTTAATGATCAATCTGTTTATTCCCTGTCATGTCTCATCAAGTGTTTAAAGATGCTTATAAAAACAAATGTACCACTGATCAATAATATAATTGTCTTTTAAATACCAGTATACCATTGGTTGAAATATTAACTATTTTACTGTACTTAGATATATAGCAATAAAAATATGGTTCCCCCTGTCTGAATCGTACAGATTTTCCTGCCTGGGAATTCCAAAGACACCCAGGGAAATGTTATAACAAGCTTCTTCATCAATTAGGCATGTAACATTCTGTTTTTCCAAAATCAAAAGCCTGAAATTTGTCTTTGTCTTTTGTTTTGTTTTGTTTTGTTTTTTAAGGCAGCAACTGCTTTTGTAGCAACCTGTGTATTTCCAAATGAAAACTCCAAGTCTAAAAAGGTGTAAGGTAGCCTGTTAATGTGGTTAACACTGAAAAAGCTACATTGCTGAGGTCTGACTTACCACACTGACCCAGCCTGCAGAGCAGAGGACACTGTGATGGCTTTATCCAGGTCTTTGGTAAAGATTCCTGCTGCTAACCCATAGTGAGTATTGTTTGCTCTCTTGATCAGGTCATCTAAAGATTTAAACTTCATGATTTGCTGCACTGGTCCAAATATCTATATCACAAGAAATTGATTAAATAAATCAAAATAATGGGTTAAAACTAAATTATTTCACATGATACTACAATCTTTTTTTTTTTTACAAACTATCTTAAATTGATTAAGACTTTGCTTCTATTCTCAAACCTATATATAAAAATCCAAATAGGTAGCTGCAGAAATTGTAGGTGACAATAGGTAATGCTCATGTTTTAAGTTCTCTTTGGAACAAGACACAGCACAAATAATTAAGGAAATGTTCATTTTCTATATGTTGGAATGAAGCTTCGAAGAACTTATAATTGTGCATCAAATCATTGACTTCAGAATTTCTTTTTCATTTAGGGCCATTTAAAATTCTCTCCTGAGTTTTCCTCATCTTCCAAGTTACTACATATAACAGTGAGCTCCAGAAAGCAGTGCTTGCTCTTCTGGATAAATGAATAGGCAATGATTGATAATAGTAATTGTCTTTTAAATACCAGTATATCATTGGTTAAAATATTATCTATTTTACTGTACTTAGATATTTTCATAATTCATCAAGGTAGGTAAAAAAAACATGAATTTTTGTTCAGATTCTGTTTTGTCGCCTAATCTTATGCACTTTACATACACTAAACAGAATGGTTCATTACTGCAAGAGCTTAAATCCTGAAACACCCTGTACACATCAAAGCTTGAGTTCACTGGCAATGGCTATAGTTTCAGAAAATAACTAAAAATCACAATTTGTTTATTTTAGCCTAAAGTACTCTCAGTTTTGCTAGACTCTCTAGGTAGTGCAAACTACCTAGAGAGTAGGTAGTTAGGTACCTACTAGGTAGTGCAGCCCAAACTCAAGATATTCTGTATCTCAGTCCCAGTCAGGAGAAAGATAACTGGACTTTTTCTTAAAAATGAAGGACTTACATTATACTTCAATAAGATATTTATTAAAATTAAATAAAAGAGGGAATTTTTCTGAGTGTTACCAGAATTTTGAATGAGAGGAGGCAAAAATCAGAAATGACAAATTTCTGGTTTTCACCACTGTTTTAAGTGTTAGAGGGGAGGGAGCTACCAGTCAATAGAGGCTGAGTGCATATGCTAAGGTTGTAAATCTAATCACCAGATTGTAACCCAAGAGCCAGACATACAGCGGCTGCTGCACTAAATGTTCTCATATTTTACATAATTTTAATTGAACTTAGCACATGGCTCCAGGCTTCCAGTTTGAATTAGCAAGTTAGCTGTTCTACTATGAATAATGTGTGAACATAATAAATGTTTCTTTGACTGAAGATCTTTTTCCTAATCTTTTCTATCTGGATTACTATCTAATCCTTTATATCTAATCAAGATATACAGAAATAACAGTACTAAACTTTTATCTTAATTTAGTATATCATAGTTAAATATTTGGTGAGCACATATATATACACACATACATGTATATATCATTTACATATTATATATACACACATAAACATTCCAAATGTCAACCACAATATACAAAGTTAGGAGGACTAACAGCTGAAAAACAAAGGTCCCAGAGCACAAGGATGGGGGTTAGTGATATCAGGATGAATCCTATTTTTTAATATACAGATGGCTGTTATGTAGTAAAAGTCCAAAGGGCAGATATGGAACCAGAAGGTAGAACATAAGTACTTATTTTTTATGTGTGTTAAGAACTCTGAAAATTTACTCTCTTAGCGATTGTGAAGTACGTTAAGATGTTATTAATTATAGTCACCATCATTACAAAGATCTCTTGCATTTATTCCTTCTCACTGAACTTTTGTACACTTGACCAACATCTCCCACCCTCATATCCCACTCCCCCAAGACCCTGGGGACCACCCTTCCACTCTCTGCTTCTGTGAATCTCACTTTTTTAGATTCCATATATATAAGAGATCATGCTGTATTTGTCTTTTTGTGCCTGGCACGTGTCACATAGCACCGTGTCCTCCAGGTTCATTTATATTGTCACAAATGACAGGATTTTTTCCCTTTACTTTAAAACTCTGGGAAAGAAGCACCTAGAAAAATTGTTCAGCATCCTGATCTGTTTGGCTGAAAATTTTTGGCTGGCCCAGCGGATTCCTTACTACTTTTAGTCCTGATCACAAATAAACCTTTATGAGAAATAAAGAGTAACATTTATTTTGAAAGATAGTCAAAGAGGACAGAATCTTAAAGGACACTCTGTGTATACACATGCAGACAAGGCAAGACAAGAACAGGAAAGTATGAACCCATTTACCTCCTCTTTGGCGATGCGCATGTCGTCTGTAACATTAGAGAAAACCGTGGGCTGGATAAAGTAGCCTTTGTTCCCCCATGGGCCTCCGCCACATTCCAGTTTGGCCCCTTCTTTCTTCCCACTCTCAATGAGATCAAGTATTTTGTTATGTTGTTCCTTGTCAATCTGTTTGAAAAATAACACATAAAAAAGCAAAAAAAAAAAAAAATGCTTGTAAAGACACATTGCTGGGCCCATTAAGAAGACTTTCAAAATGCTAAAATATTGCTATTAAATCAAACAGAGAATTAAAACAGCTAACAGAGGCTCAGATTCATTCCTTGGGTATATTTTCTTCTCATGACTTTTTAGACAAGAACCCTCAAAGATGGATAATTATATCTACTATTTGTTCAACAGTTATATAAGAAAAGGATGTCAGCACTGCAAACCTTTCACACAATTGTCATTTATTCACTCTAGAATAAATGCCTGTTAACAATCTAATACATTTACATAGAAATTGTGTTCCCAATTGAAATATTAATAAAAGGAGTGAACGGAGACAAAGAGAAAACTTTGATACTGGGTTTAAGTAGGTTTGGCAGTTGGAAAGCACATGCTTCTAGATTTGTCTTAGAAGACTCCTGTGCCTATGTTTGGATCTCCCCACTGCTGAACTATCACTGCAGGGCTGGTCCGTGCCCTTGGCTATCACATTCTCACTGCAGTTAAGGCATCCTCCCGGTTCAGGTCCCTGTGGGTCCCTGTTCAGTAGGTTCAATTCCAATTTCTGAACTTTCCTGATTGTGACCATCATGCTTCATTAAATGGGCCACATCTAAATATATGACAATTATTACACAGCTTAAATCATCTTTTAAATAATATTTTTATAAGAAAAAATGAGTCTAAAGTTCTGGTTGAGAATACCAAAAACACACCTCTTCCTCATGACTGGCATGGGAAGGTTACATATTGTTTCAATTCCTGCTTTGAGAGGTTGAATGATTGCATAATTCTCAGTCTCCAAATCACTGATAAAAATACCTGTCTCAGGTGGAGAGGGGGTTAAGGATTAAAGGCAAAACAGGAGATCTAGGAGTTAAGGTGGGGGTAGAATTTCTTCCCAGTTAACTTGTGTTTTCTCATTACTTAGAAAGTGTTCTTTATATTCTTCTTTGACTCTGCAAATCTTCCAGGCCCCAGCTCCCATATTTAACTAATCATAAGTTAAGTGCTATTTGAAACCACAAACTACCTTCTAAAATTTGGCACAATATTTGATATAATGTTGTACAATGCTCTTTAGTTCACCATATTTAATAGGATATTTCAAAAAGAAAACCTTCCTTCAATTCTCAAAGATAAAGGAAGTTGTAGTGTGGGTTTAACAAGAAGACATATTTAAATTGAATACAATCAGACTAAGTAGGTAGTGTTAGAGAGGCTGTGCTTGGTTAAGATACACTAGTGTTTTAGTAAATAGTCAAAGATCCGTGTATCTCCCTGTAAAGCTTTTCTGTCCTATTCCTAGATATTAATCTATGTCCTCAACATGACTTTTTTGTTTTTCTTTCAAGATATGTTTCCCAAGTCATAATGTTTCCCTGTCTGTGAGCAGAGTGGATACCCAGTGACAATCTAATTCCTGCATATGTACTAGAGAAAGAGGCTGAAAGGATTTGTTTGTTGGAAAACTTAGCTGGTCACTAATTTCTAAAACTACAGGACTTCATATTTCAGTGCTTGCTACTGATAATGTGGCCCTACAGCCAGCAGCTCTGATCACTTAGTAGCAAAATGTGGTTCTCAGCCCCCACCCCAGACCTACTGAATCCTTGGATGATTCAGATGCACAGGAATGATTAAAGAACACTCTCCTAGAACTTGGAGTTAGTGACAAATAATTTCAGCTATACTTAGAGACACATGCAGTTTGGTTTGGGGAACTTCCATTCAGCATAAATATAAACCTTCTTCAGGAGGTGTCAGATTGACCTTATGTGAACTTAGCCTTCTTTCTGGACCTCAGGCACTGCTCGATGCTACAAGTAGCAGGGGCTCTCTACTGTGTGAGGGCCTTGGGCTCATGGCTAGCCTATGAAATGATTGGTATCGATGATATTGTTGGTTCAGTCTGAGAATACACATTTTCATGTGTTTGGATATGTAAATTCTTTGATTCCTTAGGCTTGATGGGTTGAAGAAAAAGATAAATTGAGTAAAGCCACTGACACATACCTCAAATTATTTGGAAACCATAGATCAACAAGAGCAATGAGAGTAAAGAATTCATGATCTGTATGCTAATTATCCCATACTATGAAAATAGAAACATGTAATATTTACTTAACAAAGACTTGAGCATATAAACTCAATGCTCTGATGGAAGAATTATGTGGATTATCTCATTTGCCTGCAGAATGATCCCACAAGCTTGGTCATGCTATCACTATTTTACAGATGAGGAAATAGAGTCTCATGAAATTTAGAATTTAAATCCAGCCTGTAACTCAAATGCCCACCTTTCTACACACTAACAAGATGCTATTCAGCTGACAATGTTTATACAGTTTACATGGATATCATCACTTCTTTTTCAAATTAAAATACTGATTTTCCCACGTTTTTAAGGAAATGCACACTTTTGTCTATGAAGTCAAATAGGAAAAATCACTTTACAAGTGATTAAAAAATATATATATATATTAACATACATATAATACAAATATATAAAATATATATGTATATATATTGCATGTTCCAACTCCCAAATATTTTGTTTGTAATCTTCAAAATTAAAAAAAAAAACACACTTCTTTTCCAAAACAAACTTCTGTTGTGATTTTTTCTCTGTAACTGTTTTGTTTTTTTTTTTATTTTTTTACATTTAAGGAGAAAATTTTATAGCTACATTTTAAAAAGCCTCAGTTTACTCAGCCACCAGTGGATGAAGCAACAGGCTAGAGCTCAGTGAGTGAGTGTACCTTCTCCATAAGCTCTTGCTCATAACAACAGATTAATATTTTAAGTGTAAAGAAGCTTTTGGGTTTTCAGTTTTGTTTCTGAAAGTACAAATATACTTTCTTATCCTACATACTCATTGTAACCTGTGATAAAAGTCAATTATTCATTTATATTGCTTAAAGTCTTACATTAGTCAGATCACTGGATTATTTACTATAGAATCCAACCTCTGAAGAAGACTTTATGAAAGTCTATATTAACTCCTTTCTCTTAAAAAAAATAATGAGGTATTCCAACCCAATTTTTGAGACTCTGGTTGAATTGTGCAGAACCCTAATGGAGGAAAATCTTGCCTGACCAATGTTCTATATTAATCTTAGATATTCTCTTCTCTCTTCTTTTCAGATCTATACATCCATCATCTATCAACTATCTGTCAATCAAATGGCAAAGGGTTTTACTTTTAGACAGATAGATACATAGATATTTAGAGACAGAAATAATTCTTTTATGGAATGGGTGACTATGCCATATTGAATTAAATATATTTCTTGGCATCCATTTGAAAAGTTATGAAATATGATAAAAATTGGCAACTACTGCTATGTACTCTTAAACTCACAAACAAGTGCAAAAAATAATGGGATCAATGTAAAGCAAATTACCTTATTTCCTGATGAAGGTATTCCAGGGCTTTTAGGTTTTAATATTTGGCATTGCCTAAGTCCTTATATTCTTCTACTTGGATGTCCTGGGATGGTAAGAAAAGTTCAAGATACTCTTCTATCTTACTTAGAATGTACACTCCATGAAGTTAGGGATCATGTCATCCCTGTTCCTTTTAGTATTGCCAGGAAACTATCTCAGGTTTTAGCTGATAGCAGTGTGCACTAAATTTTAGTTCACTGAATTTATTTTTGGCTTAAAATAAGTCAAAAATTGTGTTTGGTTTCAAATAAACAGCATGGCAAAGTGTATGAGCTTTAGCATGAAAGAATCAAAGCCTCCAAAGCTCAATGTCTAGACTCTAGAGCAGGATTTCTCAGCAGCAGTCCTATTGGCATTTTGGCCAGTTAATTTTGTTTGGGGACTCTCTTGTACATTGTAAGATATTTAGCAGCATTTCTGGCCTCTACTCACTAGATGCCAGTAGAACAACCCCTCCTCACTCTGAAGTCATGATAACTTGAAATGTCTCCAGACATTGACAATTATCCCCTGCGGGAGGAAAGCAAAATTGCTCCTAGTTGAGAATGAAGAATTTATAACATGATCTTTAAGGGCAGGAGGAAATTCAGAACCAAAGGTATAGGAGCTTGAATAACAGACAATGATCAGAGAACTGTGCAAGTAAGAGGGAAAGGTGACCTTTGCTAAGAGAGACACTTATATCGATAATGGCTCAAAGAAAACCAGGAGCCCTAGGGGAATAATTGAGTTTTAACAACTAAAATGAGAAGTTTGCCAAAAACCCGGAAACTCAGGACCATTTAGGACACTCATGTTACCATTAGAGGGTCAGAGTAACTGAACTTTGAAGAGGATTTGGGGTGTGCATCTCTATGGGATGTCAGCTGGGATGGAGGATTGATTCTGAGGAAGAAATGAAAGGAAATTATAAGAACTTTGAATTGGAAAAAGAATGGTATACAGGAATCCAGAAGTGTGCCGACTGAGGAAAGCAAGAGCTTTATAGCATTTGTTAATTTCCCTCATGACTTTATTTTCCAGTATGGTTCTTGCACTGTTTCTAATCAGAAAAATTTGGCAAAGCAAAAACACAATGATTTCTTTATCATTGGAGATTGATTTGTTTTTTAATTACAAAACTGGCACAGTATTTTTACCTAGGAAGATGGGAAATAACAACAATAAAATCTACACCTGAAGAGGATACTTTATTCTTGTTCCCTGAAAATGCTATCCCTTTATTATATACTCACCTGAGGACCTTGATTTACTCCTGGAGTAAGAGGATTTCCAAGAACATACTTCTTAGCTCGCTCTACACTCCTCCGAACAAACTCATCGTATATCGATTCTTCCACAAAAAGCCTGGTTGCAGCCGAACAACACTGACCCTGGTGGTAGAATAATCCTTGGTGTGCACATTCCACAGCACTGTCCACTGCAAGGAAGACATTCAAATTAAAGAAAATATATTTTCTATAGATTATATATTGTTTCTCCTTTTTATACAAAACTTAGTTTTGCAAAGTACAACATTCTAGGCTGGGCATCATTGTGTTTCAGAAGAGTGAGAATGGGGCCCCAGTCTCTTCCTACTTGTAAGGTTTCAGTTGAGAAATTTGGCATTATTCGGATGGGCTTTCCTTTGTATGTTACTTGTTTCTTTTGCCTCACAGGTTGTAGGAGGGCCTCTTTGGTGGATATTTTGGTCAGTCAGATGACTGCATGTTGTGGTGTCTTCCTGATTGCAATGAATCTCCCAGGGGACCTTTGAGCTTCTTGTACCTGGATATCTGGATTTTTAGCAAGGCCTAGGAAATTTTCCTATATTATATCTTCAAATAGCTTATCCAACCTTTGCGTGCTTTCTTCTTCACCCTCACATCTGCTCATAACTTTCATGTTAGGCTTCTTCACATAATCCCACATTTCTTATAAGCTTTGCTATTTTCTCTTATTTCTCTGCTCTATCTCTGTGACTGATTTATTTAATTGGAAGGTGTTATCTTCAATCCCTGAGATTCTTTCTTCTCTTTGGTCTACCTGGTTCTTGAGGCTTTCCGCTGTGTTTTGTAGTTCCTTGAATAAATTGTTCATTCCAAGGAGTTCAGTTTTATGTTTCTTTAAGATTTCAATTTCTTTTGTGAATTTTTCTTCCAAGTCCTGGATTTTGTTTATGATTTCTTTGTGTTGGTTATCCATTTTCCCTGCATATCATTGAGTTTTCTTACAATCTCTGCTGGAAATTCTTCTTCTGTCATTTTAGTGTTCTGAATTTGGTTAATGACCATTGCTAGAGAGCCAGTGTTTCTCTTTGGGGTTGTGCTTTCTGAAAGTCATTCTCAGATAATCAAAGACTGAGGGAATTCCCCAAGACAAGATCATTCCTCCAAGAAATACTTAAAACAGAGTTACACACAGTTCAGCACCATAACACTCATGAATTTAAAATCACTCAAAAGCTAAACATCAAAGGCCAGATGCCACAATGGCTCAAGAGAAAAAACAAAGTTCAACCCAATAGGATGAACAGAAATTTGCCCCGTTAGTTCTCTCAATAAATATGAATGGCTTGATCTCCCCACTCAAGAGACATAAACTGGCCGAATAGCTAAAAAAGTATCTGCTGTCTTCGGGAAATACATCTAATCTGCAAGGATGCATTTGGACTCAAGGTAAAGGAATGGAAATCAATATTTCAAGCAAATGGAATCCAAAAGAAGGCTTCCATGGAGGTTTTGATTTCAGATATCTTAGTTTTTATATCAACAAGTAATGAATGACAAAGAGGGTACTATATAATAGTGAAGGGTACAGTTCATCTAGAAGCCATAACAATTCTAAATATGTATTCACCCAACTTCAGTACATCTAGATTCATAAAGCAAACTGTACCTGATCCTAACAAATTGATAAACAGCAACACCATAATAGCCAGAGACTTCAACAACCCTCTGACAGCACAGGACAGATCCTCCAAAGAGAAAATTAGCAAAGCAATAATGGGTTTAAATAGAACTCCAGAACAAATGGGCCTGACAGACATTTACAGGACATTCTACCCCAAACCACTGAAAATACATTCTTCTCATTAGCTCATGGGACATTCTCTAAGATTGACCACATCCTAGGACACAAACCATGTCTCAAAAAATATAAAAAATTAGAAATCATACTATGTATCTTCTCAGACCACAGTGTGGAATAAAAGTACAAATCAAGACTAACAGAAACCCTCATTTCTACATGAAGTCATGGAAACTAAAGGACCTTCTGCTAAATGACTACTTCATAAATGAGGAAATCAAGATGGAAATCCAAAGATTCTTTCAACTAAATGACAAAGGAGACACAAGTTTACCAAATCTGTGGGGCAAAGCTAAAGCAGTCCTGAGAGGAAAGTTTATTTCCATAAATGTCTATATCCAAGGGGCAAAAGATCACAAATAGACAACCTAATGAATTGACCCAAAGAGATGAAAAACGAGGAACTGTCAAACCCCAAAACCAGCAAAAGAAGTGAAATTAATAAGATCAAATCAGAACGAAATGAAATAGACAATAAAAAAACTATATGAAAGATTAATACAAAAATAAGTTGGTTCCTGGAAAAAATAAACAAAATTGACCCTCCTTTGGCTATACTAACAAAAAGCAGAAAAGAAAAATATCTAATAAGCTCCATCAGGGACAAAAAAGGAGATATTACAACAGATGTCACAGAGATAAAGATATAATCTATGAATACTACAAAACCTTTATGCATACAAACTGAAAAACGTGGAGGAAATAGAAAAATTTTTAGAAAAATGAAGCCTCCCTTGGCTCAACCAGGAAGAAATAGAATTCCTGAACACACCAATATTAAGTGCCAAAATTGTAACAGCAATAAAAAAACTTCCTAAAAAGAAAAGTCCTGAACTTGATGGTTTCACACCTGAATTTTTACACACCTACAAAGAAAAACTGGTTTTTATCCTGCAGAAATTATTCTACAACATCGAGAGGGACCAAACCTCCCCAACACATTTTATGAAGCCAACACAACCCTGGTACCAAAACCAGGAAAGGACACAACAATAAAAGAAAACTATAGACCAATATCCCATATGAATATAGATGCAAAAATTCTCAATGAAATCTTAGCAAATCAAATCCAAGTGCTTATCCAGAAAATAATTCATCCCGACCAAGTGGGCTTTATCCCAGAGATGTAGGGATGGTTTATCATACACAACTCTATAAATGTAATTTACCATATAAATAGAGGCAAAAACAAAGGCCTTATGATCCTCTCAATAGACGCATAAGAAGCATTTGACAAAATTCAACACTCTTTTGTAATAAGAATGCTTAACAAAATAGACATAGACAGGGCTTACCTAAAAATGATACAAGCCATATATGACAACCCACAGCCAACACAATACTGAATGGAGAAAAATTGAAAGCAGTCCCATTTAGAACTATAACTAGGCAAGGTTATCCACTATCTCAACTTCTATTCAACATAAACTAGAAGTCCTTGCTATAGCAATTATGCAAGATAGTGGAATTAAGGGCATTCAAATGGGGGCATAATAGATTAAACTCTCATTCTTTGCTGATGATATGATATTATGTCTAGAAAACCCCAAGGATTCAATCAAGAGACTCCAGGAATTGATAAATGAATTTAGTAGTCTCAGAATACAAAATCAACACACACAAATCTGAGGCATTCTTATACGCCAATAATAGTCAAAGTGAGAACCAAATCAAAAACTCAATACCCTTCACAATAGCAACAAATAAAATAAACTACCTAGTAATATATTTAACTAAGGAGGTAAAAGACCTCTATAGGGAGAACTATGAAACACTGAAGAAGGAAATAGCAGAGGACATAAACAGGTGGAAAAACATACTATGCTAATGGGTTGGCAGAATCAACATTGTTAAAATGTCTTTACTACCCAAAGTGATCTACAGATTCAATGCAATGCCTATTAAAATACCAACATCATTTTTCACAGATATAGAGAAAATAATTTTACGCTTTGTATGCAACCAGAGAAGACCCCATATAGCAAAAGCAATCCTAAGGAAATAAAAACAAAATGAGAAGTATCAATTTACCAGACTTCAAACTATACTTTAAGTCTATAGTAACTAACATAGCTTAGAATTGGACTAGTAACTAACATAGCTTAGAACATAGCATAGCACAGGAACAGGGGTATTGACCTGTGGAACAGAACTGAGAACCCAGATATAATATCATCATCATTGAGCCATTTAATCTTTGACAAAGCAAACAAAAACATACACTGCTGAAAATAATTCTTATTCAAAAAATGTTACTGAGAAAACTGGATAGCCACATGTAGAATATTGAAACAGGATTCACACCTTTCACCTCTCACAAAAATCAGCTGACAGTGGGTAACTGTCTTAAACCGAAGGTGTGAAACTATTAGAATTCTAGAAGAAAATGTTGGAAAAACTCTTTTAGACATTGGCGTAGGCAAAGAATTTGTGAGGAACACCCCGAAGGCAATCACAGCAACAACAAAAATAAATAAATGGGACCTGATCAAATTAAAAATCTTCTGCACAGCCAAATAAACTATCAAGAGAGCAAACAGACAACCTACAGAATGGGAGAAAATTTTCTCATGCTAAAGGGTTGAAACTATAATCTATTTAGAACCAAGGAAAATCAGCAGGGAAAAATCAAACAACCCTATCAAAAAGTGGGCAAAGGACATGAACAGAAATTTTTCACAAGAAGACAGAATAATGGCCAACAAATATATGAAAAAGTGCTCAACATCTCTTAATCATCAGGGAAATGCAAATCAAAACCACAATGAGATATCACTTATCTCTAGTGAGAATGGCCTTTATCAAAAAGTACCAAAATGATAAATGTTGGCATGGATGTGGAGAGATAGGAAAACTCTTACATTGTTGGTGGGACTGAAAACTAGTGCAACCTCTGTAGAAAGCAATATGGAGATATCTTAAAGATTTACAAGTAGATCAACCATTTGATCCAGCAATTCCCTTACTGGGCATCTACCCAAAAGGGCAAAAGACATTCTATAAAAAAGAAACCAGCACTCGAATGTTTATAGCAGCACAATTCATAATCGCAAAGATGTGGAAACAACTGATGTGCCCATCAATACATGAGTGGATTAATAAAATGTGGTATATGTATACCATAGAATACTATTCAACTATAAGAAACAACGGTGATATAGCACATCTTGTATTTTCCTGAATAGAGCTGGAGCCCATTCTACTAAGTGAAGTATCCCAAGAATGGAAAAATAAGCACCACATGTACCCACCAGGAAATTGGTTTTTATGATCAACACCTAAGTGCACATATAGGAATAACATTTATCAGGCATTGGGCAGACTTGGTGGAGGAGAGGATGGGTGTTTACATACATAATGAGAGCGATGTGCACCATCTAAGGGATGGACATGCTTGAATCTCTGACTGGGAGGGGCTTGGAAAGACAATGTAACCTAAATATTTGTAACCCCAAGACGTGCAGAAATTAAAGGAAAAAAGTTTATATATATTGTATGTAGATATAGATACATTTTTTAGAGGCAATATGGTGATAACGAAGAGTTACAAGTTGTGTAGTTAGACATGGGCTCAATACAATCTACTTCTTTTTTTTTTTTTTTTTTTTTTTGAGACAGAGTCTCGCTTTGTTGCTCAGGCTAGAGTGAGTGCCGTGGCGTCAGCCTAGCTCACAGCAACCTCAAACTCCTGGGCTCAAGCAATCCTGCTGCCTCAGCCTCCCGAGTAGCTGGGACTACAGGCATGCGCCACCATGCCCGGCTAATTTTTATATATATATTAGTTGGCCAATTAATTTCTTTCTATTTATAGTAGAGATGGGGTCTCGCTCTTGCTCAGGCTGGTTTCGAACTCCTGACCTCGAGCAATCCGCCCGCCTCAGCCTCCCAGAGTGCTAGGATTACAGGTGTGAGCCACTGCGCCCGGCTTTAATCTACTTCTTAATAGCCTGGTAACAAATTAATCTTTCTTATCTTTTATTTACTGTGGAAATAATAGCAAAAAATAGCAGAATCTTAAAAAAATAGTGGTTATTATTATAACTTTAATATAGATATTATCAAGAATGTGGATTTGATCATAGATTAAATCTTATTTTAAATGATATTTATAAATATCTCCATTTTTAATTATATGACTATGAATTTTTTTCAGGTCTCATATTTTTACCAGATAACAAAGAAATTTGAAATGTCTATTACATTAAATAATCTCAAAAGATCATAAATACTAAGATCAAAAGGAAAAGTGATATGTGGGAAAAAAAAAATAAGCCAAAACAACTAAAAAAAAAAATAACAGCAAAAAACCACTAATATTCAGAATCACTCACCTAACTTATGACCTCATTCTAGAAAAGACATTTTCTAAATCTATATTAAGTGTATTATATTATTTCATGTATTATACCTATAAATTCTTATCTATTTATTTTAGAGAGTAGAATGTACCTTAAAAGGAAGATTTTAAACAAGAATAAAATTTTCTTTGCATTTTAATTTTCTACATGCTGAAGATTCAACACAACATTATAGGAACTGGGTGCTGATTTTATTTATTTTGTAAACTAATCACACTTGCTTAAGTTGTAGTAGGAGTAGTTTACAGAAAACCTTAGAAAAATTGGGAATCTTGTCATGTTTATAGAATGTTTAATAAGGTAGTATGTTCAAAAAAACTTCCATTAAGATCACAATAGCAACATAGGCCAATTCCATGCAGCATTTGTGTTTATGGCCTCAAATAAATAATAGAGCTTTGAAAGAAAGAGTTGAATATCTACTTCTGCTAATTAATTTCTATTTAGGAAGTAATTTGGGGATTCTACTTGCAATATAATCAGATGAACCCAGAATACTATATAATAGAGTCTCATCATAATTGTAGATTTTGTATGTAAACTCAACTATACTTGCTAGGGAAAAAAATAAAAGAATTTATTTAAATAGTAGGTGTGATTTTCTGCTGGGCATTTCTCTTATGAGCATTTGTCCAAGAGAGAAGGGGGATGGCAAGTGTGAAACTGCTGTCTCCTCATTTGGTCTCAGGGCAACATGTCTCTGGGGTATCTCATTATGCTTAATATGATATTAATAATTAAAGGTATGGAATTTTATCCATATCATGGCCCCTAAATGCCAAATGATTACATTATCAAGAATTTATGTGAGGAAATTGCGATCTATTCCAAACCAGAAAGAAATTGTGTTTGTATTAAATTTATTTATGATTTATAAGTTTAGGACGATTTAAGAGATGTTCAAGAATAATTCTGAACTCTGCTTAATTCCCTATACTTTGATGTTAAAAGCAAACTGTTTTGTAATATTTAATTTCATTGAATGGCATTATCAGACACCAGAAAGGACGAAGGGTGAGAAGCTAAAGTGACTCATACTCACAGTCCGCATCAGCAAACACGATGCAAGGGCTCTTCCCCCCAAGCTCCAGGGTCACCCTCTTCAGATTGCTTTTCCCAGCAGCTTCTTTGATCAATTTGCCAACCTGAAATGGAGCATTACAGAGGAAGAAGGCTTAATCTGGTCTCATGAAGACAGGTTTATTTAGTGCTTTAAATTTATATGATGTTTGTGCCATAGTTAAACTTCACAGTTATATTAAATTTAGGAGAATCCCTAACATTTTTTCAAGATTTGTCACCTTTAGATATAAAAGGTTCCCTTCTCCAAGCATGCAGACACCAAGAAATCAGAAAAATGCTCATCAGTAAGAAAGCAGAGATACAGAACATGAGAGCGGATCCTGATTGGCTCTACACAGGAGGTTATTTTTCATTTTAATCAGAACTTCATCTATGAACTCAGAACTATCTATGGTGCCTTTTCGTGCCGCTACTGACACCCAGAGAACTCTACCAACCCAACTGGCATATTCACCGCCTCCTGAATCTCGTCTCTCTTCTCATCATATGCCCACCCCAACCTGAGCTGCCTCAGCGTTCTACTCTTCTATAGGATCCAGCTCATATCTTAGCTTCTCCTTGAATCCTTCTGATGATCTAGGTAGAAACAACTCTCTTCTCCTGGCCTTCCAAGAACCTCTTGGAGACTCTTTCAGTGTCTGCATCAGATTGTATTATTCATATAGATATAAATTCTCAAAACAGATTGTGACCTCCATGGTAGCAGTGACAATACCCTAATATTGCTTAAGTCTCCTCAGTAGCATCTATCCACAGTGGGCTCACTTAACTCTTGACTGACTGACAGACCTCTCTCTCCTCCCTGGTAACACACACACACACTGTGAACAGTGAAGTAGAAGAAAGAAATTGCATCTGTGCTCTGTGCTGCTACTTCAGTTAGCTGGAATCCTAATATTCTGGTTTCTTCTTTAATGCTCGTTGCCTCTACTGTCTTCAATTTTTTTTCTTTGTGGATCACTTCCCTTCAAGATTATTTTCTATCATTGTTCTTGTTCCTCTAGCTCTAAAACTTGGATTGTTCATAATTATTTATTTTTCTATCATTTTAATTTGAGACTTAATCCACTAAAATTATCTTTTCTTTTCCTTGTTTTAAATATAATTCAATTTACGTTGCTTCTTTTGTTCTCTGGGTTTATTTTTTCCTGATACACATGACAGATTTTAATAAAAAATTTATATTCCAACTGAACAAAAGTAGATGTTTGCTAAGTGTATGTACAAATTTTATGTGGTTACTGAACTGCTACTTTGGATTATGGAATAAAGCATTAATTAATCTAATGTGTCCATCTTAAATATTTCATGGTTCTAAATCAAACCCCTAAGAGTAGATTAATAAAAATAAACTAAAAGTAGACCTTCAGTGGTTACCCTAGTCTGTAATATCTCGTGTCTCATTTTGCTTCCACAACATACTCCTAAGGACTACTTTCAAAAGTTGAATCTTCACTTAAGATGGTTAAGAATTTTTTTTTATTCTAGATAACATTCTTTGCCTTTCCCTCTTTGAGTTCCCCAATTTCATTCTGCATCATTTTCTTTTTTTTTCCTTTTTTAAACTTAGGTTTACTGGAAAAACTTTATTTTATTTTATTCTTTTTTTTAGAGACTTTATTAAAATAGATAACTTTTATCTTGGGAAAGAGTAAAATCAGAATTATTTTTCTAAAAGCTACAGATATCAAGACTAGTATGAAAAATGGTTAGAAGTAAGGATGAGGAAGAAAGGGGATACCTTTGCTTAGTACAAGTTTAAGCAGCAAATAAAAGGCTTGCTTGAATTTTCCCAAAAGTCTAAGCCCAAGCAAGGAAACATCCATTTTCTGTCTCATGTTTTCTTTATGTGGAAATAAGTAAAGATTCATCAATTTTCTTGGAGGTTTGCAATGAAGAAAAGATAAGCACCATTAAGAATATGGGTAAGTAGTATATACTATCATACTGTGGCATTTCCATGTGAGGCAGAAGTAGTAAATGCTCATGAAAAGGGAGTAGCCCACTGTGTCTTGCATAATGGGAGTAGGGTACCATTTTATACGAATGCCATGGGACATTAAAATTCTTACCTGGCTAAAAGTGTTGTGAGAATGGGAATCTTTGCTACAATGACCACATAGGATATAACATGTTTTCTCCCTTTTTCATGGCATTTGCCAAGTTCCTGGTATCTGCCCAGCAAAAAATCTGAAGCTAAAAGAGAACCCAGAAAGAGATTCCAAGGAGCATGGCCCTAAGTTCCATGCATTGGAACTAAGATGCGTTTTTTCAGTGTGGCTTCTAAAATCATACTATTCACACTTAACTCTTTATACTTATTTAGAATTAGTCACTGTACTGGTTTTGCTAGATAATAGTGAACAAGAGTGTTTGTGGATATTCCACAAGGGAGAGAAAGACACGTAAAGAGGCCACAGGCACGGGCTCTTACAGCTGCGTATCACACCCAATGGGAACAGACGGGCGCTGTTAAATGCAGAGGGTTCCTGCGACTGCAGAGGTGAGGGGAAAGCCAGCCAGGAAATGTGTGGCGGGAGCCAGGTAGGAACACGTTATGACCACGTGTGAACGAAGAGTATGTGGGAATGAAAAGGTACATAGAATAATCAGGAATGGTGGGGCAGAGTGGCAGAGATGGGAAAAATTTATAGGGAGAGGAAGCTCTTCCCTCACACCTTCTCAATTATTGTGAGAAATTAAAGAGTGGGAGAGGAAAAAGAAAAAGGAAATGAGTACAGACACATACAATAACCATATAATTATACTGAGTGCTGGGTAGGGTGCTGTGTGTTTCATTAACCATTACCTCTCTTAGTTTTATTCTGTGCATCTCAGTGAGGTTGATATTATGATCTTCATTTTACAGGTGAAGAAACTAAATTAACAAGGATATTTAACTTTTGAAGACACACTGCTAGGAGGGGTAGAGACAGAATATGAACAAAGATGTTTCCTAGATTTTTATCTCAGGGTTTGGAGGTGGTTTGGGTAGGTAAAGTTTCCACCACCTGCAAATGCACCAGAGGCTCAGAGACGAGCCAAGACAAACAGGCAGTGATGCAGGAGTTGGGATCAGGGAACAGCACCCCCTGGTCCAGATGAACTGGAGAGTGAGCAGGTGTGGTTCTAGGCCTTGAAAGCTACATGTATTCCCTGCTGGGGAAGGTCCAGGCTGGGGAATTTGTTTCTTTCTTCCCTTACCTTCTCTGCTATGATTTCAACCTGTGATATCACCATTTTAAAATTTATTGCCACGTCTTAAACATTCCCATTTGTTTTGTTCACAATATATCCTGAATGTGGGGTTTGTTTTCTCCTACCTCAGTTAAGGATTTACAGAGTGTAAATTTTTACAACTCTATGTCTATGAAAAACAAAGAAAAATATGTATGAATTTATCTCCTTTTAAACTCACAACTATAGGACAGAGTGTGCATTGTGTGTGTGGGGGGCAGGGGGAAGGGCATGCCTCTAACTTCCGCTAGGTGGAGGCAATGCTATAAAATGTAACCAAAATGTTTGTACCCTCACAATATCCTTAAATTAAAAAAATATATAATAATTAAAAAATAATAATAAAAAGATCAAGAGAATTTGATTTTCCAACATTTCTGTTATCTATATAAATATTTCTTTTTATTGGATTGGCTAATTAGTATCATTAAGTAATCAAATTAGCCTCACCTTTGTATCTGAAATGTTCTTTTTGCTTCTCAATCCCCAGAAAGTTAAGACAAAAAAGTAACAAATCCTCAAAACTCACAGCAAGTTCCAGCACCATTTGGACATCACTATTCCTTCCTGTGAACCTCCTCACAACACTTTGTAAAAATTTTAGTATTTGCTGAATCCTGCCTTGTTTCTTACTTGCCTTGCAGCTTTCTAAGATGGGCTGATGTTCACTCTTCACCCTCTATACTGCATACTAATGAAAGGCATACAGTAGTTATTGCATTGAGCATCTAACAGTGTCACAGTATCTAACAGAATGATGCATTTTTTTTTTTTGGTACAGTATGATCTCTGTTTCTTTTGTTAGGATATAAAATTATCTCAATAAATGGGAATCCATTTTCCCAAAGTCTACCTTCCAGGACTCTGTCTTTCTCTCTCTCCCTCCTGCTTCTCTGCACTGTGTTCACAGTTGGGGCCCTGTTCTTTAACCTTTGGATGGCCAAGTTTGAGCCAGACAGAAAAGTTAGGCTAGGACAAGAGTAACATTGAAGTAATGTGAGTTTCTGGCTCCCTTTCTGAATATCTAAGGGAGAGAGAGCTCCAAATAAGGAGCTATGGGTGAGGATCTACTATTTAATTTTCATAATCTACAAAATAACATTACATTCATTCATACAAATCATCTATGGCCTAATTTACATTTTGTGCTGTAAACCTTACTAATCATAAGACAAGGTCTCAGCAGCCATATTTCTCATCAGAAATAATGAGAACACATTAAAAATAGTTTGCTCTAGTCCAAATTTGTAATAGGTATTTCATTTTATCCAAATTACATCTGCTTATATTCTATACACATATTTGAAGGCTAAAATAAGGGGGAAAATCATTAAAAAGAACTTTTGTTTTAAGGAAGTATTGGCTCAAAAACAGTTACATAAAACATGCTCCTGATAGCTGGAGATGCAGACACTCTTAACTTCTGGGCTGAGTAAGTGACATTACCTCTGTTGATCCTGTGAAGGCCACTTTGTCTACATCCATGTGAGAAGAGATGGCTGCTCCTGCAGTAGGCCCGTAACCAGGGACAATATTCACCACTCCAGGAGGAAACCCTGCCTGAGAGGAAAAAAAGGAAAATTCATCTAAGTGGTTTTATTCTTCATTGTTATTTTTGTGATTAGTATTATTAACAATATAATACAGTAATTATTAGACCACATAAATATAAGCTCAAGCATTGTATTACCGAATGCCCATTTTCCCTCAGGGTAAGGCTATGGGTTATTATTGCTCCACTGATGTCTGTCTCAAATTTCATCATAGTAACTCACAAAGAAAGTAAAACTGTTTGGTAAATTACTTACCTAGAAGGAAGTCAATGTGTTTATTATCCCCACCAGCAAAACTAAGTAGCTAAAGGGATCTCACATTTTTATTTCTAGCTATTGTCAGTTGCTCAGGGCATAAAGCTGAGGTGAGAGTCCATACTGGCATTATTTAATCAGTGAAATGTTAAATCAGCATAGTCAACCGCTATATGATTGTACTTCAGGATTGATTTCAACCCCGTTAAAGAATTTGGGTAGAAAGTGTGGGAACTGACTAGGGCATCTTAAAATTTTATGTTCATTGCATAAAAATATTAAAATGTTTCATTTTGACATCTCTTTTGCCTATTTGTAATTCAAAATACAGAATATTTTTAAGATATTAGTTCAGATTTCTTAAATTGAATTTTCTAGTGATTGATGCTTGTGTTTTTAAGTTTTGGTAGGATATGAAGACAAAAGAACAATGAATTGTTTGCAAAAAAAGAGGTATATTAACATAATATAGGTAGTTGATAAAAATAAGTTTCATGTGCTCTTTTACCACTTTTGAACAAGAAGACAAATGCAGAGAAGACCATAATAGAAAAGTGAATATAAACATGTCCACTTATGGGTAGATGTGTTTAGAAATAACGTGGCCTAAGAGTACAAATATAAGCATGTTTTCACAGAGGCCTCCAAACTTCACATATCCTATAATAATTTGAACAAATCTGCAGAAACCACCAGACCATTAGTGGCAGTGACAAACTAACTTATCATTTCACAATTTGAAAGAATACTATATCAATTTCAATATTTATTTATGTTCACGAAAGTTGGACGAAAGACACAAAAAAGTGATCACAATGTGACTGACACCAAGCCGTTGCATTGGACTTCCTGTCTGTATTTAGGCAGAGACTCCTTTAGGTGAACTGCCAGGAATCCCAGCCAGCAGCCATGCTAAATGCATCCCCACACTCAACAGAAGACTTTTGTAAATAATGTAGTTGGCAGCGGCACCCAATGAAATGGAGTTCTTGTGCATATTTTGTCTTTGGAGACTTACCTCTTTTATTAAGGATGCCACATGCAGTGCAGTGAGAGGAGTTTGCTCTGCTGGTTTGACAACTACTGTGTTTCCACAGCTCAGGGCAGTGCCTATCTTCCAAATGAGCATGACCAACGGGAAATTCCACTAGAAAGCAATATTAACAAGAGGTTCTTTGTATTGCTGAAAATTACATTTGTTAATCTAAGTTCACATGATAACCCCCGAGCAGATATTAAAAAGTAATTGTAGTATTGTTGTGTAATCATCTGGTATGTTCTAATTAACTTTGTTGCTAAAAGAAACTAGTAAATGCTAAAATGCACTAAATAAACTAGATTTGGGAAAGGAGTAAGAGAAGGCTCCAAAATTTAATCAAGTGCTGTCAAATAGAGTTCTTCTTCTACACGGAAGATAAAAATCACTGCGTGGTTTGGCTTATCATTAAGCATATATTAAGTTATCTGTAAGTGTTTAAAAAGTAAGAGTATTCCTCCAAACCCACAGATGATTTATTATAATTATTTACCTGATTGTATCATTAGTAGCATTTATTTCTAGGACAAATATCTTGCTAAAGACAAAGATATCCTGGGTCCAGAAACTAAGTGCTTGGTTTCAAAGCTCAGCTCAATCACTACCAGCCATGTGAAGTCACACAAGTTACTTGCTCTGTGTGTACAATTGCATCATTTTTAAGTAATGATAATGGTCCTCTCTACCTCAGACGGTTGTCCTGAGGATTAATAAAGAAAATGAGCCAAGAGCTTAACACAGTGACTGGTTCATCATAGGCACACAGTATATATTAGTTATTACTAGTATTTGCACTTACATAGTTTTTATAGATGTTACTGTAATTTTTGAATTAATGAGGAATTTCATTAAAATGTTGATACTAAAAAAAACTAAAAAAAAATGTTGATACTGATACATTTCAATCTCATTGGAGTAAAAGATAATAGCCACTTATTCATCTAAGAACTTCAAGATACTTCACCATTTTTTTATTTGGCCTTTGGAAGGATGTCAGCTAAAGAGACATAGTCATTTACATAGTCTCCTGTTTGTCAAGCTTAAAAGGAAATCTTGAAAGTTCCACTGAAAAAATAGTACCTTCTTTAAGAAGAAATTGGAGTATCAGAGCCTCTTATCTTAAGACACGATATACTCCATACAGTGCTCTAAATGCCTCTGGTATCATTCTTTTCATTTTAACTTAAAAATATCTTTCGGGATTAGAACACTTTGGTTGGTAGTATTCTCTGTAATGAAAAGCCTCAATGAGGAGATGAAGAGTGTTGGAGACTAATCGAGCCTACTACATTTCACTAAAATGGCGACCTGCAGATGTGCCAGTGATGAGCGCTTTGCCATACACGTGTAAAACATGGTTCTTATAGAGAAGACATAATATGACTTTTAAAAAACAACCCATAGAGTACGAAATTATAGTATCTGTCGATACTATAATACTGAAATACTCTCAAGAGACATGCCGCGATAGAGACAGGTTTTTGGACTACCTAATTCACATCTAAGTTGTTTAGTCACAGAGAGATCCAGTTCAACAAATCTTATATTTACTCTATATTTAACAAATATATAAGAAGACTAATGGCAACAGACACATGAAAAATTCTCAACATCTCTTATCATCAGGGAAATGCAAATGAAAAGCACATGAGATATCACTTAACTCCAGTGAGTATGGCTTTTACCAAAAAGTCCTGAAACAAATGTTGGTGGAATGCAGAGAGATAGGAACATACATTGCTGGTAGGACTGCAAACTAGTGCATCCTCTATGGAAAGTAGTATGGAGATACTTCAAAGAACTAAAAGTAGAATTACCATTTGATCCTACAATTCCCATTACTGGGTATTTTCTCAAAGGAAGAAAAAAAAAGACATTCTGTAAAAAAGACATCTGCATTCAAATGTTTATAGCAGGGAAATTCACAATTGCAAAGATGTGGAAACAACCCAAGTGTCCATCAATACATGAGTGGATTAATAAAATATGGTACATGTATACTATGGAGAAGTATTCAGCCATAAAACGATGTAAACTAATACCTTTTGTATTACCCTGGTTGTAACCAGAGACTATTCTTCTAAGTGAAGGATCACAAGAATAGAAAAAAAAACACCACATGTACTCACCATTATATTGGTACTATTTGATCAAAACCTATGTACACATGCGAAAGTAACATTCATTGGGGATCGGGCAGGTAGGAGGGGCAGGTGGGGATGGATAAATTCACAACTAACAGGTGTGGTGCGGGAAACCTGATGGATGGGCATGCTTGTGTAGCTTTGCCTCATAAAATGCAAAGGCAATTTATGTTACCAAAGCATTTGTACCCCAGTAAAATATTCTGAAATTAAAAATTAAATAAATAAATAAAAACAAATATATAAGAATCTATTTGTGTTGTAGGAAGCTTCATTATTAATCTAATAAAATTAGAATTCTTTTTTCAAAAAATTAGAGTTATATAGAAGAACAACTTACAGGAATGATTTGACCACATACACCAATAGGTTCATGTCTTGTATAAGTAAAAATGTTTCCATCTAGAAAGTGAAAAACACACACAATTATATATAGACAAATGTACTCATCATTCATAGAATGGTGGTTTGGGGCTGATATGAGAGAATAGTGTAGACAAAAATTAAAATACTAAACACATCTCCAACTGTTCACAAATGAAAATGGAGCCCTCACATCATAATTGGAATGACAGGAACCATAAAATTGAGTTAGGTGAAAGCAAAACATAAAATTGGAAACAATATGAAAGATAATTAATTCTGTCTCTCATCATCTAAGATGGCTGATTGCTAAACCATCCTTCCTCTCAAATTTTAATTTAAAAAAAAAGGGAGGAAGAAAGGAAGAGGTCTCCAGCTAAGAGAAGAACCACATTCAGATGTGTTTATGGCAGCTCTAAGTTCTATCAGTAATAGTAACTTTTTTTCAAAAACATAACAATTTAAAAACTAGTAAAATTAAAAAATAAGATAGTTTTTAAAATTTCTCTATAATTAATAATCCTTTCCTACTCACTTGTTCTAAAATGTTTTCTTTTTGCCTACCAAACAATAAAAGTAAATTCTCTTAATTCGTGGAAACAAAATTCCGAAATAAAAGACATTTCTTTTCAATCTAGATTTGAGTGATTCATGTGCTTCAGAGTTTAATGTGGTCCTTCTGAGAGTCATATTGTGTTTTCTGTTCAGTTTTGTTTTGTTTCTTTTCGGGAGTTGTCCTGGACACGAGAGAGTTAAAGTACGGTTGCTGCCTGGAAAACTGGGGTCTTTGAGACATAGCACCTGGCGCCTTGACTCAGAGCTCTGACATTCTTGGCCTTTCTTCCAGCTCACGGAGGGTGCTGGAGATAGCAGTAGCAGTTATAGAAGGTCACTGAAGTAATCCTGAGCACGTAGCCCTCGTAGCTTATAGCCCCCCTGAAGCCCTGCACATTCCTTTCCCAGGATTGCTAATCACTCTTAGGTGCTCTTTTCCTTGAACTGTCTGAGTAATCATAGTTGAGTATTTGTAGCTTTATTGATATCAGAAGAAAGTTAAGTTGTAGACTAGAAAAACGGCTTAAGCAAGGGAAAAGGCTATCAAAATGACGCATGGTTGAGAAAAAGACAAGAACCGTTTTGTTTTCTGGTTTAACGAAGACATGTATCCATTGAATTTCACCTCTCCTTTGTTCTTATCTGTATAAAAATAGCAACTGAAATAAACGCGGCAGGGCAGTCACCAAGGACTTTGTCCTCCCGTCCCCATCTGTTTGTTGTCTCTTCATTTCTCAGCCTCGCCCCCTAACTCCAGGTGCCACACGTCGCGGGCTGGCTCCGGTAGTTTCCCACAGAAGCCTTTGGCTTGAGCAAGAACTCTTTATCAAGATCTATTTGTGCTTTAAATGGCTTCTACCATTTTGTTCCAGAATAAAGTGAGATAGTCATTGAAACAGTCACATTTCTTGGTACTACCATAGTTTCACTCTCCTCTTCTCACTTTCTGGCTACCACTTTTGACCTAGTGGATGTTCCAAGTAGACTGGAAATGCACATCAGGGCCAGTGGTGGAGGGTGCTGTATTCCTCAAGTCAATATGTTTACATGAATTAAATTCTACCAATACTTTTTCCCAAAGTTAATCTTTTTCATATTTCATATAAAGTGTTTTTCATATTTCTACCCAATTTTGCACATATTCTACTATATACATACATGTTCATGCACATAAATCATTAACTCAGGCTATAAACACAGTTCCTTCTTTCTTTGAAGCTATTTGAAGCAAATCAACGCGAATTAGTTTCTTTAATCAGTCTGGTCTATCTGTAGTGAGTTTGATCAGGCACAGATGATCACAACGAACTCATCCTGGACATGCAAAGAGGCATAAATAATTCCCTTATAGAAGGGTAAAAATGTCATTATTGGAATAAACCCAAAGAAATAATTCCAAAGGCCAGCTTTAAAAAGTTTGGGGCTTAGAGAGACAAGTGCCTCAAATCAGTAACTGTGGCCATAAGCATGTTCTTACTTTAATATTTTCTAAAATATGCATAGTGTTGTGTTCTGTATGATTATGCTGAAACAACTTTAAACTTGGGTCTGAGTCTTCTTGGCAGCAAAGAAATAAAAAATAAAAAAGCCATTTGATGAATCTTAACAGAACTTCCAAGTTCAGAGCTGTGTTGTTTCAAAATCTAGGGGGAAAAAATTTGGCCTTAGTGGGTCGACATCTTTAAAAGGGAGAGTTTAAAATTATTGAGCTCTATAGTAACCTCCTCACTGCTACTCCAACCTCTAGTGGTTTCCCAAAGCTACTTACCAGCTGGTATTGTACGGCCCTGGATCTTGTCAGCCCAGCCTGCATAGTATCGTAATGTTTTTATGCAGGCTCCTAAATCCATCAGGTATGCGTTGGTAAATAGTTTTCCACCATTCATTGCTTCCATTGTCTGAAAGACAAATCAAACTCCAAACCTAAAATTCTGTAAACATTTTAGTTTGAACAAAATATATAGAACGTATTATGAATAATCATGTGCCAGGGAATTTTGCACATAGATAAAATATTATGTCATCTTGTCTAACCTCCTCTTTTTTAAAAAAGACACTAAAAAACAGTTAAAATGGCTTCCTGGAGGTCATATAGCAAGATCTGGGTACAAAGCGTTGTAAGATTCTGGTTTCTAAAGACTAGTGCTTTTTAATCTCATTTTGAATGTCCTCCAGCTAACAAACTTTCTAGGAATCAGTCACAATTTGACATACACACAGCAGGTGAGAATGATGCTCAGTTTTAGTCAGATCAGAGTTTCACCAAGATTTCACTTACTGTGTAATCCAACTCTGTGTGACAATTTAGTGTCAGTGACTATTAATGATGCCTTAATAATCATTTTTAATTTTTATATTCAATTTGGACACACAAACGTAAGTATCACCTGGATTTTTCATTCATAATTTTCTTCAGCACAATTTTTAATGATGAAACTCCCAGTTTTGCCATTATTATCATAATCATCATTTGAATGGTCTATAAAGTTCAACATTTTCTAGTTTAGTGCCCTATTCATTACAGGATGACCTATCTCCTCTTTTCCTTCTCTTCTTAAGCAGAACTTTTAAAGAGCTCTTTGGGATATAATGTTCTGCTGGGGTGAGTACCTGACAGGAATATCCAGGTGATAAACTGTTAAAGCTGTCTTGTCTCTGTATTAAAATGTCTACCATCACACAATTTAATCAGACACAATTTTTGTATGACTGTACCTTTTCCCCCATAGGATTTTATGCTGACAGGCAGTCAACAGATCACATAAATGAGAGAAGCCAATTTTAAGCAAATTATGCTTTCTTCCTAAAGGAAATTTTGGTTAATATAGTTTTATTGTACATAGCTCCTGGTTCCATATGTTTGCATACTTTGAATTATGCTGAGTCGCCAATTGAGTAATAAATGGTTCTTTCATTAACTATAATTGCTAATGTTGATTTTTTTTTGGAGCAGACTTCTCTGTAACTGTCACTTTAAGATTCTAAAGGCAATTAACAATTTACAGTGGAATCTGATCTTGCTATTGGTTTTGGCCAAATTGGCTTCATTATAATGTCCAACTGAGAAGACAAAAAACAAGGAAATAACCTCCACAAGGATATTACCCACTGACTTATGTAACTGCTAAAATATAAATTAAAAAACAAAGTAAAAACATTTTTATAAACACATCAACGATTGGATTTTTTTTCCTTTAATCTTTGCCGTTTTCACCTGTAAAAAGAACATCATTTAATTATGACCATTGTGAACACATATTTCAGGGAGGGAAAAATAGCCATTTATTAAATACCTTGGCTATTGGATATACATTTCTCTAAAAAGAAATAAGATTTATTTTAGAGAAATATTTTGGGCACCTTTCACAAATCATGAGTTTTCATCTAAAAGTGTTCACCAGTCAAGTACTTTAAGAAACCCAGTACATCATTCCATGAGATTCAAACTGCATGTGACCTTCTTAAAGGATTTGAGAAGAAGTTATAAGATAAAGGAAAGAAATTTCTTTGATTTTGGTTTAACTTGGGGTTTGACAACATTTAGACAGTGGAATCTATTGTGGGAGCAGAAATTAACATCACCCAGAACTGGAGTACAGATGAATATTTGAGAATAAACTCTATGGTCAGAGTCCTACACAAGAGCTGGGAGATAAAGTCTTTTCATTTTGTTTGGAGAGAGCATGTAGTGATCACTAAAACCAAAGCAACTTGCCAATTCAAACAATAAATGCTTCTGAGAGCTCTATCTCAGTATCCAGTTTGGTTAATACTCACTGCCAGCAAGAGACGATCTCTTTCCATTAAATCAGCCAGCTTGTACAACAGTTGTCCCCTCTCTGAAGCATCCATAGTACGCCATGGAGAGCCGATCTGAAAAGCCTGTCTTGCGGCCTTCACGGCTTTGTCAACATCCTCCTGTGGGTCAAAGGGAATTTAATTCAGTAGGCTGAACATACTGGATCATAGAATCCAATTTCAGTCAGTGAAATAGACTGAAGCTCATTACAAGCTGGCACTGTGTCTCCAATAGCCTAAAGTCTAGCACACTGTGCACACTCAACTACACCATATTGCAGTTACACTTGCTGAGTCATCTTTGGAATGACGAGCTCCACACATCTTGCATATGCTTGACTTCCTAGGATGCAAATATCATAGTAATAGTCGCTATCATTTGCATGCTTGCCATGTCTCGAGCAATGTTCTAATAACTATACACATAGCTCATTTAACTCATTTAATTCTCAGTCATTTAAAGGGAAAAACATGTTCCCCATTTTACAGATGAAGAAACTAAAGCAAAGACAGAGGAGCTTTACCCAAAGATAGTAAATAAAGGTGGCTGGACTGAGTTTTAAACAGAGCTCATCTCACTGTAGAGCCTTTGCTTGCTCTCACCACACATTACACTCCCCTGGTGACTGAATTATAGGAATTGCAGGAGAAGCTCAAGATTCAAAGTATTGAATATCTTCTTTGATCTCTGTTGACTCTATACAGCCTGTCCATTCTCATGAAGGGCCTATTAAAGGGTGAATAAGGGCTTTTCTTTGCTGTTAAATAGTAAACATTATAAACATGTGACCATTTTTTTATTGCAGAGGGAAAAGGCATAGAGGAAGTGGACCTGGGATATGGAACGGTCTGCAGGGGGCAGCCCCTCCCCCTTTCCCATCTGAGTATAAAGAGATCTTTTTAAACACTAAGCAGGTAAATAAGTCATTTTCTTTTTATTAATAATGCACTATTTTAAACTACATTCATTCCAGCAAAAGTCAAATAGTAAAGTGATTCCACAATCAGTCTAGCCTCTTTGACTCCACTCTCCTATTGCAAGCTCTTTCTACTCATCTGTGTTTTTCTGTACCAGGTATCTCCTCTGGTTCTTTCCTTATCTACCTCAGTCACAAAGGTTGCCCTGGCCACTATGTTTCCCTGCAGAACTTTGTTAAGATCCTTTTGAGCTCTGCAGAATATACTTACTACAGGAATCACCACTTTCCTCTTTCATTACTACTGCATATATCCCTTTTTTTCTGTCAGGTCAGTTGCAAGCACCTTAAAGGCATAGATCATTTCAAGGTTATTTTGTACATAGAACTGGTCACTGCATGAAACTATGTATGCTCCATAAATCATGACGGCACCATAGGCCAGTGGGTTGCAAATTTTTACAGGAGACATAATTCCCTTTGAGAATTGAGGGAGGGAAGAGTAATTAACCTAACTCTTTTAAGTTGTACACTATTAAGCTAAATCTCATCCAAACATGACATCTCCCCCTTGGAGAAGCATGGATCTCAAAATAACATCCTCCTCCTTAGGCTGTATTCAATCAAGAAACCCCAAACTTACAAGTCTACAAATTAAATATAATTTTTATTGTATTTATCACCAAACTAAGATGATCTGGGGTAAGAGGGAGGTTTTAGAAATGTAATCTGGTCTGATCAAGTGATGATACTTACTGACTACAAGCAAAGATCCTTTCACTATAATAGATTACACACTGGAGAATGATGAGTTTATACAATAAAATATATCCATTTATTGCTTCGTTTTCCTGAGAAATATACATATATGTCTGTGTTGTGTATGTGTATATATACACACACACCGTACATATTTGGAACATTCAGTTAATAACATTGATTGCTTATATTTGGACACTGTCTCATCACATAGGTTCTAACTTTTTTCAAGTTAATTTTAGACAGCAATGTTACAAAAAATATAGGAAGCATTAGAAAAGCAAGGCATAAGAATCTGAGATTGCCAGTATGATCTGTGGATTCTATGGCCTATATAATATAAACTGCTCTGTGTTTAATCAGTTCTGTGTGACACAGCTTCCATTTGGATCTTCTGCTCAATGTTCTGTCATCAGCCTTTGCCAAATATGGGATATTTGAGGAATTCTGGCCTCCCAAAGGGATATGGAGAAAGTGGCTTCAGGACAAGTAACTCTGCCATATGGAAAACACAGCCCTAGATAATTCTTCTTTAAAGAAAGATGTCCTTGTGCTTATATATTTTAGATCATGACCTTCCTTTTCTTATATATTCATTGTGCAGGAGCAGAAATAGAATAATGGTAGTTAATATATAGTTTTGGAATGAAACAATCCAGATTTGAATTCTGATTTCTCCTTATTAGCTATGTAAGCTTTGAGCCATTTGACTACACATCCATCCATCTAAAGCCAGGGTCCTCAAACTTTGTAAACAGGGGGCCAGTTCACTGTCCCTCAGACCATTGGATGGCTGGACTATAGTTTTTAAAAAACTATGAACAAATTCCTATGCACACTGCACATATCTTATTTTGAAGTAAAAAGACAAACGGACAAAAACACCCATATGTGGCCCTTGGGCCGTAGTTTGAGGTTGCCCGATCTAAAGATTTGATAAACATGACACTCTATAGTATTCTTAGCATTAGGCTACTAATGACAGAAAAATGAAGTAAGGAGACTGCTATTTAGGAATATTCAATCTAATGGGAAAGACATACAACCAAATCATCACCCTAATACATTATTATAAACAGTAAAAAACATTCTGATGAACTTTTGTTGTGGCAGGACTTCTCTAAATTGCAGTTTTCTTATCTTTAAAATAGGGACATGGTTATCTCACAGGGTTGTGTTGAAGACTACATAAAGTGACACTTGAAACACATTTTCTATATGACAGATGTTAAGTGATAACAATTGTTAGTGTAGTCCTAGCAGTCAAATCAACCTTTAACAATAGCTCTTAGGAATTCTAGTATATTCTAATCCTACTTTCTGTTTTCACTGTCTTGCACTATATAGGCCCTTCTTTGTTCATATCGTCAATAGCTTTCCCAAGTTCATTCTCTTTTCTCCCTGAACTGTCTTGCATATTGCTACCAGGCTAACCTTCAAGTACTTTTGTCTTATCACTTTCTCGTTCAACTGTATACAATTATTCCCTTTTATCTACAGTCTGAAGGCCAAACTTCTCTGACTGATTCTCAAGGCCCAACATTACTGGGCTTCACCTCACCCATGCAAACTTAGTGTTCACATTTGTTCTACCCTATCTGATCCAACTCCTTCTCACCTTTGCTGCTATAACTCTCCTTGCCTAGAATGTTCTACCAATATACTACTTTACACCACTTTACTTTCAAAATCTTACATATTTTTTAACAGCCAGTTCAAATATCAATCTACCTAAACCATCACCAGACTAATCCAGCAACTAGTCAAGAACCTACGAAGCTCTAGGCACAAGATAAGTCCTTTACAATCCAACCAATACTGTTATAGTTGAGCATCACTGACTTTGGTTTTCAGGTGTGTAGACTATGACTCATGGACATGAAATCCAGCAGGCAGTAGAACACAAATTTGATCCTATATCTGACTCCAAAGTCTAGTTCTTATAGCTCTTCAAGGCTGCCCTAATAATGAAACCCTTTGAATATTTACTACTATCTGTATTATAAGCTATAATATTTTTTACTATTCAGGGCCTACAATAGGCAGTAAATAAATATTTAATAATTTGATTACCTATCTCACAGACTTCTCATGTTACATTGATTTTATATAAGGACGCAAACTATGACATTTTATAATAAATCATATTTTAATAGATTTCATTATATAACAAAAATTTTTACATTTGTTTTTTAATTCCAAGACTATGATGTCTTGGAATTTTGGCCCAAGACTGACATTTTGAGAGATATAATTTCTGAATTAACCAGAAAAGAATTGGATACATAAACTCAGATTTGCCGACATTAATAACATTTTTGCTTATGACATTTAGATTGTTCCTTTCTTGAGGAATGGGCCACAAGCTGAATGTAAGAAGAAAGTTCAAATGTTGCTGAGATATCAAAAGGTTGCTAAGCACAGTTAAGGAAGAACTGAACTCTTCAATCAGTCCCACATGGTGCATCTCACACCAAATTCATTCAGAGATGCAGAAAATAGTCATCAGAGCAGTTCTACTTTTACACCTGTCACAGACGCGTACTTTAATGGACATTTACTTTTATCACCACCAATTATTTGTTAGATCATGCGTTAGTATTAAAAGCAGTTTTCAGGATTAGTCAATATAGCCTAAAAGAGCCACTGAAGTGAAAAGAAAACAGTTCCCACCCACATCTTTGCTTTGTAACCTCCATTTGTTCTTGCCCCTCTTCCTTTCTCTATAATACCATTGAAAGGAGGTATACAGCCCATTGTGAGCACCATTTTACTTCTAAATTAAATCTCTCAAACCTCTTGGCTCATTATCTGAAGAGTCAGTTTCAGAATATCAGGTTGACTGTGACTATGTAATTTACTTGATTTGTACCTTTCATTAAGCAATGTTATCAGAGTTTACTATACATTTGACAACAAAATTGCAAGAACATCAATAATAATTTAAAAACAAAAGTTTTGTATAATTCCAAAAAGAATAGACAAGCACTGGTTGTTAAGCACCAATGTTAAGCACAGCAGCTCACCACGAACAGTTTGTATCATAAACAATTGAGTTTCAGTGATCAAATGTCCAACTACCTCAATCAGCATCCTGACCTGGTATGAAGCTTTGCTGGATGTTACTGACTGTCCCTGATTGCTTGTCTGAGGAGTAGTAATTGTCAATAAGCAGCGAGCAAGTCAATGGCAAAGATTTCCAAGGCTTCTAGTATGATCATCAGCTTTTCCTTACTACACGCTAGGAAGAAGGTACACTATGTGAACTGTGTCAGGAAAAGTCCTCAGACTACCTGACAAAATCTCAAATGGAACTTCAGGAGCACAGATTTATTTTACCTATAAAACTAATTCCAGTGGCAAAGCTAAATGATCAAGGCTCCAGAGCTAAAACATCAAAAATCTAGACATTATTTTAGTTTAAAATCAAGCAAGAAAAAAATACTATGAAAACTTCACCAAGACACCCATAAGCACAAGCTCATCATCATCACCAAATGACTACTGAGTGTCTTTATGGACCAAGAACAACTTAGAAAAGTTCCCCAGATTGCATCAGAACCTATATTTTTATGACATGTCTCTTGAATTTGCAATGGAGTTTGGGAGCCCAGAATGGCAAGAAATCGAGAAACCTGGCATAAAAATGGAACTAGTGTTTAAAAACTCACCTTATCTCCTTCTTCTACATGGCAGATGACCTCCTCAGTTGCAGGATTAATGACAGCAAATTTCTTGCCACTCACTGAAGCATGCCATTCATTGTTTATGAAGATCTGTAGGGATGGAAAGTAGGTACAAAGATATTTAAACATACAGCAAAATTAGGAAATTTTTATAAACTTAAAGCATTATGCGATGCCTAAATGATGCATATCTCTTCACCCTTCAAAATTTATTGGCTGTTTTAGTTATTCTTTGCATGAATGCACACACGCACTCTCTCTAAAATAAAGTACAAATTGCTTTTAAGTTTCATGAATATATGCGCTCATTTCCACTCTAGAAAATACAGATTTGGCCGAGCGCAGTGGCTCACGCCTGTAATCCTAGCACTCTGGGAGGCCGAAGCGGGCGGATTGCTTGAGGTCAGGAGTTCGAAATCAGCCTGAGCAAGGACGAGACCCCGTCTCTACTATAAATAGAAAGAAATTAATTGGCCAACTAATATATATAGAAAAAATGAGCCAGGCATGGTGGCGCATTCCTGTAGTCCGAGCTACTCAGGAGGCTGAGGCAGCAGGATTGCTTGAGCCCAGGAGTTTGAGGTTGCTGTGAGGTAGGCTGACGCCATGGCACTCACTCTAGCCTGGGCAACAAAGGGAGACTCTGTCTCAAAAAAAAGAGAAAATACAGATTGGAAGAGACAATCTGGGAAGGAAAGATTTTATCTGAAATAGCCATGAAATTGAGGCAAGAGTAGAGGCTTCAGTGGGCTTGATCTTTAAAAAACATTATTTTTATTTTCCACTTCAATTTCGCAAAATCTTCATTTTTGGCTACTGGTGACTTGATATCATAAGTGACTACTTTCTAATTCTATATCTTACTGTCTTAATGCTAGTATAATAATTATGCTGAAATAAAGATTTTAAAAGAAGTTTGCTCAGAAAAATTTAGCTAGTGACATGATTCACTGGCTTTTTAAAAGCACAGGAGTTTCATTCTCCTTTTCAAAAAATTTCCTGATAATTTATTTGTTACCAAATGAAATCAGGCACTACATTTCTTAGGGATACCTAAGACATGCATCTAAAAAAAGAGTTAACTCTAGTAATATGCAATTTTGTTCCATGTGTACTGTAATAGAAACATTAAAAAGCATCTGTATGTCTTTTTAAAAGTCTCAGCTTCCAACTTTTACACATTAAATTTGCATTTCATTAAGCAGCCATCTTTGATATCTCATTATTTTTTAGTAGAGAACAATACTTGACAACTTCAAATTAAGAAATACTTTTGTGATGAATAAACCTATGTTCTGTTTCTGACAAAAGTTAGTATTTCTTCTCTTTTCCTCCCTTCATTTTTTGTGTTTCATTTTTTTCTTATTATTTGAAACATGAAAATAAGTAAACACATAATTATATAATATGTAGACATAAGTACAGTATTTGCTGTTACACATTGCAACTTGCTGTTAGACTTATGACAACATGAACTACATTATTTAATTTGGAATCATGGGTAGTTGATACATGGAGTTTTAAAAGAAGAGTGACATATGCATTGGGTTTATACATTATCTTAATTCTGACACTCCTCTTTACTTGATATTTAAAGATAAATTACTGATAGCTCAACCTTGAGGGAGAGTATATTGAAATACCCCTTCCAGGTTTTAATAAGTTGCTATGCTAAATGCAAGTTACTTAGTTATTAAAAATTTCCATTGATCAGGATCAAGATTATACATTGCTAGATCTGTTACTTATATTGTGTATATGTGACATAAATGTAATCTTTGAAATCAACCTATGAGTGTTCACCAACTTAGATATTCTATCATATTCTATCAATGACATAGCTTAAAATTCTGTAAAATTAATGAAATATATGTTACTATGTATCCCTAAATTCCTGAGTGCCTTGTCTCCTGTAAATTCATAGTGAAATTTGTCCCTTTTCAAATATTTATTTTTACATGTCTGCCTTCCCTCCTAGGCTGTAGACTCCATAATGTCAAGGACTGAGTTTGTTTGGTTTTCTGGTTTATCCTCAGTGTCCAACACAATTCCAGCCCTCAAGTGACTTCAGCCTCAATAAACGGTTCATAAGTACAACTGAGTCAAGTAACCTACAATACGTCAGCTACCCATAGCTATGACCCATAGCATTCTGCACATGGGTACACTGTGATACTTGTGATTTGCTATAAAATGAGGAGGAGGAGAAGCCTCCTTATTTGCCTGTTCGGACAAAAACAATTATCCATAGAACAAAGCAGCAGCATCCTACATATTTGGAGGAGTTCAAAAGAATTGTAGTCCAGCCTGGAATTGACATGAAAGAGACATGGGCATGCATGAAGGAAGGGGGAAGGAGTCTGAAGCAGTTCAAATGAGGAGATAAGAGGTCTAAAGATACATATATGGAGGTATGAGAAAGATGGAAGTATCAAGAAAATCCTTGTTTCTCTGATAAGGTAACTGAACACAGATGAAGACTATCAAATTCATCATATTATCCCTTGAGAAAAAGGTTGGCATCTTAGTTCAACTCAAAGAAATATAAACTCAGATTACAGTGATTTGCCCAATGTCTGTGAGAGTGAGCCAGCACTCTAGGAATCAGAAACACATTTTACAGACTTACATACTAACTCTTAGAGTATTTTCTTTTCCACATCCTCAGCCTCGGACGTTTAGTATTTTTCTTTCCAAGGGATGACTGGGAAAGACCTTAATCAACTTGTCCCAAACTCAGCTCACTGCCATCTCTAGCTTTATGCTGCTCCCAACACCAAAGTTCTAAAGTTGCTCAAGCATTCTCCATTCTCTCTCACATACACTATGTCCTTTTCTCTTAACAACAATACACAGTTCCTTTTGCATCAGTTTGTTATGCTATATAAAAAAACCTTTCCCTGATCACCCTTCCCACTACTTGTGCCTAATTAAAATTGAATTTCACTTGTTATAATAGTCTTCCTCAGCCAACACAGTTTAGATTTTGTCTACACTCCTCCCTCCTTAGAAACTGGTGAGTCTCCATTGTCAACTCCTCAGCATGGCACTCAAGGAGGTTAGTGATTTGCCCCAATATGCTATTACAACCTTTTGTCCGACCAGTCCTCAAGTTTACTCTTCATTTCTGACTCATTCTACTGCTCAAACAATATGCTCTTCTTCGCTCCACACCTTTACTCATACTGTCCTTCACACAGGAGTTGCACTATTTGTTCTACTTAAACTTCAAACTCCAGCTTGATATATCATCTCTTTTATGAAGATTTCACCAGTTGTTCCAGCTGGGTTTAAACTCTTTTTTCTCTTATCCCACATAAATATTTAATATCCTACTATTAGATTCCACATTATGCTGTTAATGTTAGATATCTACATAGCAGCCCATGAAAGGGGATGGGTATATTCACACTAATAGTGTTTGCCCACCATCTGGGATGGTCAGGCTTGAAGCTCTGACTGAGGCTGGGCTGGGGCAATATAGACCTAAATGTGTACTCCTGTAATATGAGAATAAAAAAAAAAAATTTCAAATAAAAAGAAACAAAAACAAAAAGCTAAAGATATCTCAGTACTTGGTCCAGATTTTTAATGAGCCTTTCAAAACTTGTATTGGACTTACTCTCACTTTCTAGTCCTACCTTCTCTCTGCCCTGAAGGTTGTATTATCTCCTCATACTTTGTATCTCTAAATTAAGAGAACACAATATCATTCTGGCAGAGGTATACCCAGTATTCTATCCTTCTACAGTATGATTTCACTAAAAAAATAAACTAAGAACAACATACAGAATTGATTACATTCTGTTAGGTCTGTGCTGAAACTTTCTAGCTCTTGCCTGAGTCTCTTATCTTTAGGTCTGTGATAATTTGTGGTTTCAAGTTCTTCTCCATATACTCTCAATACCTAAGAGCTTATTTCACTCTCCAAATATCTTTCGGTGAAAGACTCATTACAGTATGTATGTATGTACCATCTAGTTTCATCATCAAAATGTTATATCTAAACTGTATATAAAACTCTCCCTTCAGCATAAAGTCAGTGCATGTTTTGTAAATGATCATCAACCTAAAGTCAAACACAAGTTTATCTGGCAGCCTGCAGTTAACAGAAGACATCAGCTATAATAGATCCCAAATTACCAGCAACTTCTCTGTGTTATTCAATTTTATTGTTGTTTGTTTGTTTCTTTTTTTTTTTTTTGAGACAGAAACTCACTTTGTTTTTGCCTGGGCTAGAGTGCCATGGCATCAGCCTAGCTCACAGCAACCTCAAACTCCTGGGCTCAAGCGATCCTCCTACCCGAGCATCCCAAGTACCTGGGACTACAGGCGCGTGCCACAATGCCCGGCTAATTTTTTCTATATATTTTAAGTTGGCTAATTAATTTCTTTCTATTTTTTTAGTAGAGATGGGGTCTCGCTTTTGCTCAGGCTGGTTTCTAGCTCCTGACCTTGAGCATATCCACCTGCCTTGGCTTCGCAGAATGCTAGGATTACAGGCGTGAGCCAAGGTGCCCGCCATATTATTCGGTTTTAACATTTAATGTAGGACCACACAATGGACCCAATCTTTGCTTGAACTTGAGCTTATATTTATGTAACCCTGGCTAGTCGCTGTTTCATCAGAAAAGTGTTTGTGAAATAATGAGTAAAGACTTGCGACGTACTCTGGATGGTACTGTGGGAAAATGTGAGACGAGTTACCATCACCACTGCTTTCCAGAGTTCTATAACCTCAGAGGAGAGTGTATTTATACTAAGATCAGCAGTAAAGAATTAAAGGATTGTGGAGTAAAGTGGCCAAAGCAGACGTTTATTCAATAAACAGCATAGAGGAGCACAGGCTGGAAGAGGGCATCCTTGAAGGATGGGATTAGATTGGTGCAAAGAAAAACAATAAGAAAAGGAGGGACCAACCTTCGAAAATTCTGTAACACAGTAAGGAGATCAGCTCCTAACAGAACAGAGAGTTCCAGCAAAAACCAGTTATAGATAACGTCTGAAGATGAAAATAAAGTGCATTTGTGGTGGAGCTTGATCCTCAGAGTAAGAAGTTTGTATTCCATTCTGAATATGATAAAGGAATGACTGTATCAAATGGATGTGTTATGAATATTGATTTTAAAGTACCCCCAATTGATTTGAAGTAGAGCAACCAAAGTCCAGGAGATTAGCCCAGAGACTGCTTTAATAATCCAATCATTGGAGACAAAGTTTTGGAGTAGCATAATGCAATAATACAGTTTGTAAATTATGAATTGTGTACATTCTCCTACAAACAGAGGTCTTTCAGCATGTAAAAAAAACTTGGAACCCATGGCCTTAAGGCCACATGTGACCCTCCAGATCCCCAAGTGTGGCCCCTTGACCGAATCCAAACTTCACAGAACTAATTGCTCTTGTTTTGGAAAATTTGGATTCAGTCAAAGGGCTATATTCAAAGATCCAGAAGGCCACAGGTATTCCCAAGGCCACAAGCCCTGTGGGTTGTTAGGCCAGGTATTGCACCCTACTTTTCTTCCGTTTAGCTATGGAAATTTATTGGTAGGAATTACCTTAATAACATTTTTTCTCTCTTAACTTTATTAGCTTTACCTTTGGCATTTGCCTTCTAGCTATGCGACCAAATGTCTTTGGATACTCACTCTTCCTGTTGTCATATTTAATGGTTATGTGGAGAAAGTCTAGGCTAATGAGTGTTTGTTACAATAATTATAAAATCTATTTTAGGCCTGTAGAAATATTCTATCTTGGCAACTAAGTCATTTTCCATTTGTTGTTTGCCTTTAGCAAGTTTAGGGGAAAAGGGGTGATATCATAAAAGTAAAATATTCATGGATTCTATTTAACCATTAAATTATTTATATTTTAGTTATGAATTTTGGACTAAGAATACTTTTGAATGATATGTGTATATATAGTAGATGTCAATTTAGGTTCCCAATACTGACTGGAAATTATAGATGCCTATGCATACTCCTGGACTTCAAGTGCTTTTTATATGGAGAATTAATCAATGGGAATGTTGATGCAACTTAAAAACTGATTTTTACTCTTACAAGTTTAGACATGTCAGGTTTTAAGAGATGTATCCTATTATCTTTGATAAATAAGTGACTGTTTTCCTGGATGTAGTTTTGTGTCCAAGAATAAGTCATAATCTGGTAAAAACAATTGCCTTTCCAGAGTAAAATCTATTATGTAATGCATTTGGTATAATGCTACAATTTGAAATAAATAAGCAATTTTCTCAAAATATTTCTGGCTTGGATTAAGCTGGATTTCACTACTAGGCAAAATAAAGATCTATTCATCTTATCTGTTGATATGAGATTTTGAAGGTTGTGGACTAAAGTGGAGAGCCCCTGACTCCCCCCAGAACACACCAGATGCCCTAAACTCATACTCTCTCTGCAAGGCAGCCATGGGCCAGCAGCTGTAGATCCAGTAAGAGAAGCCAATACTTCCTAGGTGGCAGAGAGATCTTAATGGATCACACTTTCAATGCAGGAAGGATTTCAGCACATTCCAAGGGAGAGAGAGAGTGGTGAGGGTGAACCTTTTATATCACTTGTGTGGATTTCCAAACCTGATATCCTGGGTCACAGCATGAGGAGTGATGAGTAGTGGTGTCAATGTGCAGGGGGTGACGAGTGTTCTATATGAACTTTTCCTCAGCCTTAGGACCCTTAAAAAGTTACCAAAGGCAGTGGGTAATAGGGGGACAGAGGACAAGACAGAGGATGAATAATGATGGAGAGAGATTGAACAAAAGTTATGTGCAGTGTTAAAAATTTTTAAAACTCAAGGCTGGATCTCTGACATCTATTTTCAACTCAAACCCTGAGGCAGCAAAGCAAAATGTTGGGACTCAGAGTCAAAAAATATCAAAGGAAATTAAAGGAGGAAATAACAGATAGGAGGAAAATTTGTTAGCTGCAATCAAAGGAATGAAAACAAAACAAGAGATTTACCAAAAAAAAAAAAAAAAAAAAAAGGAGAAATAAAAATGTATTAAGCATAAGGAAAAGTGATGATATTGCATTATACTGTTTCTCCTTTTTTTTTTTCTATAATAGTCACTTGTTTGACACTTTCCAGTAAGTTTTTCTAGTGAGTACCTACTTTGAATTGAAATTTCTTGTGAATGCCAAACCTGGAATAAGAAAGTGAGGGAGACTGGAGTCCTGAGATCTTTTGGGCGTACCTTTGCCAGATGCCAATTGTATAGATTCACCACATTTTTCATGTTCCCATTTTTAATGAAATTAAATGGAAAACATTTTCCTCTTTACTAAAACCCTATGGAAATAATACCTCAATACACTTCATAGCTGCTGATCAACCATGTTAAAGTCACAATCTGATCTCTGCTGACATTTTCGTAAGGAAAAGAGCCAATGAGCTGAACAATTTCCTCATGTGTTGTACGTTTGAAAATGAAAGTGAAACTAACCTTAGAACTGCAAGACCATTCACGGTTACAAGCACGGAAATAAATATAAAAGAGCAGGAACTTTTGCTGTATCATTAAATTATAAGGCTCTCTGTTTTTCATTGGTTAATTCAGAAAGCAGAAGGGCTTTCCTCTGAGTTGCAGTAGTTCCTTTCTTACTATATTTTCCGCATCACACCATAAAGATAATTTTAAGTGATTAGATTTGTTAGACTGCGTTTTGCTTGTTTATTTTGTCTAGTTTGGAGTTCTGTGCTATGAGACGGAGGCAGGCATTTAGACTCGGCAGCAGCGTGAAACAGGCTAAGTTCAGACATGCTCTCAGAAATTCACAAGCAGAATCCTTGTCCCCCTTCTCCCTATCTGCAGATTGTGAAGTCTAGACCTGGCTCCTGCTCTTATTTCTCTAAATATTTATCTGTTAATGATCATACATCTGTCCCAGTGGCAACAATCCTGGCTGAAGACATAAATAAGAATGCTTTCTTTCCCCAAATATGCGAAACAATGAAAGTCCATTTCTAAGTTTTTTGAAACAGGAGCTCTCTAATCTAATTATCAGACTTAAACCTTCCTATTAAACATGCATCTTAATGAAAACAAAACAAAATAGGAGAAATAAAAATTTATTAAGCATATGGAAACATGATGCTCTTTCAGTATGCTCTCTTTCGCCTTTCTTGATTTCTATCATTTCCCACTGGTTTGGCTCTTTCCAGTAAGTTTTTCCAGTATCTGCTTCTCTAATCATTCCTTCCAGTTGTAATGAAGTTAATAGAACTGCTTAGTAAAGTTCACTGGTTCCAAAGGGCTCTTTACACAAGTTTACATAAATTGTCCTTTCATACTTTAAATGAATATAGTTTTTACGAACCCAAGTCAAAGAAGCAAATACAAATTGTACTTACCTTAGTATATTGAGTCTTCAAATTGGTGAGTGGGGCAGGTATGTCTGGCATGCCTGAGGACATTTCTGGTTCAGCTCCTGGAACACAGGTGACAGGCGGTCCGGTTCTGATAGAGCACTTGACTTAATTTGTTCCTTTTTATCTGCAAGGGCCAAAATGTATTTGCATACTGGGATATGATTGGATGAACAAACTCAGAGCAAAAAAAAAAAAAAAAAGACCAGAAAAAGAAAGGACACTACTTATTTGTAACACCCAGGGCAGGAAGCCTTTGACTTTAAACTTAAATCCTTAAGAAACCAGCCCTCTAGCATTGAAGTTGCATCTGGAGACACTGCATTATTTGCAGATGAATTAACTTACAAAGCTGAAACCTGTGATGAGAGTATCCAGTGCAGCTGCTTGGGCCACTAAGTCCAGTTATTCTTTTTTTTAACTTTTCATACTTTGTATGCTACTTTCTGTTCTCTAATGGATTTAGAGAATTTGAGGATTGGAACAGAGTCTAAAAATTGCACATGTTCTCAGTAGAAGCTGATGAGGAGAGAATCCTGGCCAGGTGTCTTCAGGACAGGCTGTCAGGAAAACAGTCCACCTTCCAGAAAGTCAGAGTGCTGTTTGGGAAAGAAAGGCGCTCTAGCCAGACTGTAACCTGGGTTAGGTTTAAAATATCGCATCAAGTGTATTTTGAGTGCTAGGTAAGTAGACCTACTGCGTTTTCAGAAGCCCTAAATTATTTTTATTTTCTATACGTTTACAGAAAAGTCAGCAGGACTTTTAGAGAACTCAGAGTTTATTGTCACACACAGGCACCACAATTATAATAGGGCGATATCATGTTAAAACTCACTTAAAATTAAAATAACCTTTGGTTTTGGAAGTTATCTGTACTTATCAATATAAGCAGTTGTACAAAGAATAAATTGAAGCAGGACTCCCAAATAGTTCAAATTCTTAAATTAATGTTTCAAGCTGGGAACATTCAAACTGGACAATTTTTAATTGTTCTGCTCTCAGTTTAAGTACAATACTTCATTGTAATGTAGCTCTAGCAATAGTTACAGTAGGAACAAGATAGAATACTTCAGATGCTCTGATTATTAAGAACTAACAACAATTTTGTTTCACGGAAATTTGCCAGATCTCTCCAATATGGGATTCAGACAGAGAAACTAAGAATTGTTGGATAGTTTGTCCAAGTCAGGTGCAGGAGCCTTAGTTTCTCTAGCTTAGCTTCATTATATATTTCATAGACATAGAGAGGGTGATTGGTGTGCTTATGGTCATAGTTCTAATAAGTGCAAGGCCAGAAATTCATTCCAGGCCAGTCTGACTCCAAAACCTGGGCTCTCTTTCCTGTTGACTTTCTCTGCCCTGTTCTCCACAAGAGGATTCCCAGCTGGGTCAAAGATCAACTGCTTCTGTAAGTGCATAGTCATCCTGACAAGCACTTTAGGACAACTTTCTATCACCTATGACAGGGGTTGGCAAACTTTTTCTGCAAAGGAACAGACAATAAATATTTTCAGCTTCCTGAACCAGGTGGATTTTATTGTCACTTACTTGACTCCACTTAGAAGAAACTATAGACAACAGTTAAATTAATGGGTGTAGGTGTTTTCCAATGAAATTTCATTTACAAAACCAAGGGGCAGGCCAGATTTGGAGCACGGGCCAACCCCCTAGATACTAAGGCAATACCAGCCCCAAAGTCCTTGACTCCCCTCACCTTGTACTTGAGGACCAGAGAGAAACCTTTGTGTTCCTTCAGCATTTCTCTTTCTCTTTCTCAATTTCTTTCTTTTTGGAAAATCATTCTTTGCTCTTTCAAAAATGTGTTTTGAGTTAAATGCACAATTATACAACAGCTGTTACATAACTTGCAGAGTGGGGCTCTGGCCATGCCCAGACAGCTGGGTTTTGCTGCTTTCTTGTGCTCTCAGTTTTGCAGTTTTTTATGGTTTCAAACACTGGATTATTTCATGCCCAAACAGTGAAAGCTCAAGGTTTGTGACACACTTGCCATGTCATCTCACTCCTTACATGTTCAGCTTTCATTGTACTTTGTTGCATAATTATATGGGAATAGTCCATTTATAACAGTCATTACTGAATGTAGGCAAAGGAGCAGCTTTAGAGATAGGTGACCATATCTGCCCATTTAATTTCAACATATATTTACTTAGTATCATTTATACATCGGTAATTCTCCAACCTAATCTCCATGGAGGGCCAGATTTTTTTCCTGCCCATAAACTGCAGGACCCGAGATCTGCATTTTTGAGGTAGGCATCACCCTGCCCTGAGAACTTACCTTGTAGAATAGGGTATTACTTGGAATGGTTGCATGGGTACAAGGCTTTATCAAAATACTTCTCTCTGTTACAGAGGGAAAAATGGCCTTGGTGAGAACATGGAGGCCAAGGAGCACACTTCCGGTTTATACCCAAGGTCATGTATTTTTATTGTTTGCCAGTAAAAATTGGCAAAGTTTATTCTGTTATGCAGCAGAAGAGAGGCAGGTCCTTTTCCTCGAAGGAAATAGATGAAGGATGTTTAATCTTTTTCTTCTTAGGGACAAGCTAAATTTACAAACACACACACAAACACACACACACACACACACGGAAAGAGAGAGAGAGATAAGAAATATAATAGTTTATTCACTTCTTGAATATGACTTCTTCCAGGCCTTTGTGAAAGCTGGCATTACACCACGAAACACATACACTATGACTTCCACCATTCGTGAAACTACTCTCTCATTTTACAACAAGCCACTCCAGAAGTCCATTCAAGTCTCAGCCACTGAAAGGATAAAAGAGAGCCTAACATTCCACCTGCCTAAGTAATTAAAATGAAAAAAAATCAAATTCATTAACAAAATTTAATTTTGTGGTGCAATAAAAAATAGCTGCAATGGCTGAAAGTTTATGTCCCTCAAGTACGCATGTTCCAACCCTGCCCCCCAGTGTGATGCTGTTAGTGGGTGAGGTTTGGGGAGGGAATTTGGTCAAAAGGATGGAGCCCTCAGGAATGAAATTAGTGCCCTTGTGAAAGAGACCCCAGGGAAGCCTCTGGCTGTGTTCCTCCATGTGAGGAGATAAGAAGAAATCACCAATCTGTGATGCCAACGAGGTCTCTCACCAGAATCTATCTACACTGGAACCCTGATTTCAAACTCCCAGTCTCTAGAACTGTAAGAAATAAATGCCTGTTGTTTATGTGACCCCAGTCTATGGTGTTTTTTGTTTTTTTTTCTAGAAGCCTCAATGAACTAATACAGCTTCTTTTGATATTTCCTGATTTCAGAGTCCTAGATCCATTTATAGAAGCTAAACTTGTCCTGCTCCAGTCAGGACAGCCCTCCCTGACCATCCACTCTTGCCTTCAGCATGGCTGGATGAGTCTGCCTGTTGGTAAAGCCAGCCATAGATCTGTCTCTATGCTTTGGATCACTGCAATTTTAGCAGATACCGCATCACTCTTATGCCTATTTGGGTTTTAATAATTTGGAAAAAGTGGATCTTGTATGTGGCTAGAGAATCTGTGCTTGGTTGGCACGTTGGTGTTCAAAATGGAAATGGAAGGCAGAATTCAAGTATGTGAACATGTGTGTTTATGTGCTAATTTCTGTTCATCTGCCATTCTTCTCCCATCAGGAAAATTTCCTCACCTCTGATTTCTCCTGCTCCTCAAATGTCCTGTCCTTGCATTGTTTTCTCTGTCTTGTTTTACTGAGATATGGTAGATGCCCCTTTTATGTGATACAATTAGGAACACTGACTGGTAAGGTCACTAAAAGAAACCATAGATTAAAAGCCTATGTAAGATAATTATTTTAAACAGATTTCTGCTAAAGCTATGGGTCAAGGCATTTCTTAGAACTGGGTCTGCTGCTTTGAATGTGAAATAATCTTGCATAAATGGCGCTCATGTCATGTTGTTTACAGCTGCGGTCCCCAACCCCTAGGCCATGGCCCGGTACCTTTCTGTGGCCTGTTAGGAAAGCAGCCACACATGACAGCCTGAACTCCGCACTGCCACCCCATCAAACCACTGGTTCATGGAAAAATTGTCTTCCATGAAACCGGTCCCTGGTACCAAAAATGTTGGGGACCACTGGTCTACAGTTTTCAGTTTGTTTCCTTAAAGTAGTGAGAAATTAAAGTCACTAAAAACATCAAATAGACAATCTAAAATGTAGACTATTTTGATATTTCTACATTTTTTCCCTTTTTTTAACCGTTGTCTTATGCACATATTATTCAACAAGTTGTTTAGCAACTTGATAGAGTGTTTGTAAAATATTCAGTTTAGCTTTCATAGATATAACTCTCCTAACCCCAATAAATCAATAATTAAAATAACATTCAATTCAATTTTATAATTGAAATAATAGGTACAAGTGAATGATCAGATTTTGGAGAAAAGAGATCTCACTATTGGTAAGCAGAGTAGATTGTGCCCTAATCTGGCCATTCATAAACATGAGTGTCAGCACCAACATTTTTTGTCTTTGCCTTTTAAGTAATTTTGTTTTTTCAAACTTTTAAAAAGTTTGCATAAAAATCTACAAAAATTATAAGTGTACATCTTAATAAATAGTTATAAAATGAATAAAACAAAATAACTATCACTTGAGTCAAGAAATAAAGCAACATCCAAACTTAATAGTGTACTTTCTATATTCTTCTAATCACTACCACTTTCTCCCCCTCTCTCAAACATCCAGTATCCTCATTCCTAATGTGTCACATCCTTTTTTTCTGATTTTGAAATTGATAAGCAAATTATACAGTCAGAATATTTTTTTATTTCAGCATATTATGGGGGTGCAAATGTTTACATTACATGTGTTGCCTTCCACTCTTTTCCCCCTAGAGTCAGAGCTTCAAGCGTGTCCATCCCTCAGATGGTGTGCATGGCACTCATTATGTATGTATAAGCCCATCCCCTCCCACCCCTCCCGTCTGCCTGACGCCCGATAAATGTTATTCCTATATGTTCCACTTAGGTGTTGATCAGTTAATACCAATTTGCTGGGGAGTACATGTGGTGCTTATTTTTCCATTCTTGGGATACTTCACTTAGTAGAATGGGTTCCTGCTCTATCCAGGAATATACAAGAGGTACTATATC